GTGTGCCTGTGTGTGTGGGGTGTGGGGGAGAGAGAGACAAAAAGCGAGAGGGAGATGGAGTTAAAATTGGAACTGGAACTGGGTACAATCCTAGATCTATGATCAGGGGCAACTATTCGGGGTAAGGGGGTTCAGAGGATAGTTTGGGCAGGAGAGCATCCAGGAGATACAAGTCAAAGCAGCATCAGTTGTTCCTCATGGGGCTCCATTTCAATCCTCCTCAGTTCTGATTTGTTACACTAGCTCTTCTCCCTCTTAATTAGGACAAGTATAGAAAAAGAAAGAATGGAACTCAGTGAACTGATGGAAGAATACCTGGGATAGGATAAAGTAATCCTTCTACCCCTCCCTTAAGCCCCCCCCAAAAAAAAACACATTGTAAAGTGGTTATCCCACTGGCTATAAGGTGAATGCACCAATTTGTAAGTCGCTCTGGATAAGAGCGTCTGCTAAATGACGTAAATGTAAATGTAAATGTAAAGAATGGGGCAATGTAGGGGTTGAGAACAGCAGGCTTCCTCTGGGCCACCTTGTCATGCACTTTGTCTCATATTCAGGGTTCATCATCTAGGATTCGAACCTACAGCATATGTCCGATATAGTTCATGAAATCAATTGAGGAATTGAACAAATACAATTAAGACATCTAGATTATGGCTGACCCCATTTAGTCGACTGGTGGATTGTTTGGTCGATAGGCTGATGGTCGACCGAGATTTCTTTAGTCCAGCATTAGCAAATAAATAAATAAAGACACCTGTCTGATTGGCGCCTGTCTACTGATATTGTATGTGGTTATATTACATAAGAACAATGGTGCAACACTAATAAAAAATAATATTATTTTATAACAAATGCGCTTTCTCCCTTGTTGGAAAGAGGTCACTGTCCACAGTTCTGAAACACATCAGTGCGCTGTTGAATTGGAGCCTTTTCCTAGACCATGTTGCTATGTGCATAATAGCAAAGTGAACCATGCGGCGGAGGCAGCAGCAGAATGAGGAGATGAGAAAACAGCCCTTGACTTATTGTCTAAGAAAATAAGGAGAGAGGAAACCAATTTAATTAGGTCTACGATCAATATCCTAACTTTTAAATGTGCCTGACTTTATAAATCATCCATATTATCTACAGAAATAAGACAGATCCTGCTACTGTTGGCCTGTTTGAGTGTTTGTTTAATAGCCTACTGATTCCGTGAGCACCAAGCCTCACGCAACGACATGTCAAGTAAACATTCACAAATTCTGCTGTTTTTAATCTTTGCTTTGCTGTAATAAAGGCTTTACACTTTTTTTCTTCGTAAGAACAGCCTCTCTGGTATTATTTATAATGTATTTAGTGTTGTTTACACTGCTCCAAATTCTCTGAAAAATAATATTTATAATAATACTATCACTCCTTTTTCTTCATCTCCTTATTGTTATTATTATGATCATCATTATAATAATATGTGATGTCATCATCATTAGTAGGCTTAGTATATCAGCCTTGTATAACCACCATCGAGCTGTAGGCCTAAGAGCACATCCTGTTTAGTCTTAATACCGTAACTTACTTAGGCCTATATTTCAATACTTATTTCTATAGGCTACTGTATCAATCAATCAATCATTCATTCATTCATTAATTCATTTGTTTGTTCATTTGTTCCATTTCAGAAATGACTGTTTTTAGTCTTTGCTGTAATAAAGGCTTAGCAAAAAAAAACGTTACAACAGACTCTCTGGTACGCTTATACTTTATTTAGTGTTGTTTACATTGTTCTAAACGGTCAGAGAAATTATATTGTAATCTATACAGCACCTGTTTGGCACCCATAATATGCATGCAGCGCTTGCTCCATACCTTATTTTTCTTGATCTTCAGTATTTTCCACAACTAGTCACATTTATTCTTCAAATCTGATGTCCCCTTTACTTCCTGAGCAACCAGTAAACATTCCCCCGTTTCGAGTTTATTTGCCACGTCCTCTGCATCCATTTTGCTGTCACATGTGTTACGGTGTTCAGAGTTTGTTATAACCAATTTATTGATGTGATTTAAGCTATTTACTGGGGGAGCTCAGGTAATGTAATTATGTGCACAAGCACAAATCACCACATCCATAATTTAGTCCTGTCCGAATCTGCCATGTCAGTAAGTTTTACTTGGCAGGAAAGTTATTATCCCAGCCCTAAAAACCTACTGTTTTTCGGCAAACTCCAAGGTCCTCTGATAATACCTATCCCATGCGAATCGTCATCCGTGTGTTTTGAGGGATATTACAGAGTTTAACAGGTGCTGCACCCAGTTTGGGTTAGAACATGGGAGCAAATTGATGCTTAAAACAAAGTGCAATGCATGTAGCCTACAGATAAATGATCTGTTTTGTCATATATCAACTTTCCTAGTGCCATACTTCTCTTTTAAAAGATTAAGTGGACGATATTGTGCCAAATACGTCAGGTAATTAAATGTCTGCATAGGTTACAGTTCATGGTTCTTATTGATATGCATTATTATTTTGACTTTCTCCAATTTAAAGACCATTAGGCCAATATTAGGACATTTGAAATGTCATCACGCCTAGAAGAGCCTCCAGGCTTCCGTCATAACAGTCAATTGTTAATTAGGGAAAACAATTTTTACAGGGGTAGTTTGGTAAAACTAATCCCGTCCGAATCCTCCACTGGAAAAACTGACATGCTGGGGTAAGAATTACATAACCTACGTTCTATAGTAATACTAGTCCCGTGCGAATAGGGTTTATGATATGCTATAGGTCAGGCCTTATTGTGCCATATTGGGACAGGATTCGTTTTACTGGGGGTGGTCGGGTAATGTAATTATGTGCACAAGCACAAAACACCACATCTGTCATTTTAGTCCCGTCCGAATCTGCCATGTCAGTAATTTTTACATGGCAGGAGAGTAACAATTCCAGCGAGAATAACCTACTGATAATACTAGTCCCGTGCAAATCGACATCCCTGTGTTTTGAGAGAAATGTCTGAGTTTGACAGGTGTTGCTCGCGGTTTGCGCAAGAAAACAGTAACTGCGCATAAACTATAAGCTATAAGAATGGCCTACATGTAGCCTATGAACTTTCACAGTGAATGCTTTTGTTTATATGTTTTGTGCGTATGAATTGAATATTGTCAAATGCATCAGTAAAAAATATTGAGCCTATTTAATGCAACCCTTGCTGATAATAGAGTGCAAAGCAGCATTACAACTGACCTAAGCGTTTGGAAATTATAAGTTAACTTTCCCATCCATAGCCTTAAAATGCATCTCAAGTGTAATTGCACTGTTTATCTCACATCTGAAGGCTGGGGGGCATTTAGGACCTACTGCGGATCGCTAAAATATCCTAATGATGATCACACTTCCTCAATTCAAATATTATGGCGACACTATAGGAAAGATGGTTTGGTTTAGAAACTTGGGAACCAAGCTGGAGTTGTCAGTGTGGCCCTATCACCAGGACATGTTGAAATGCTGTACCTTCACACCTAGAATAAAAACCTCCTGGATTCCGTCATAACTGTCAATTTATTGGAAAAAAAATAAAGAATTACAGGGGGCAGTTTGGAAAAAACTAATCCTGTCCAAATCGTCCTCTGGAATAACGGACATTCTGGAGTAATAATTACATAACCAACGTTCTCTAGTAATACTAGTCTCGTGCGAATAGGTCTTGGTCTCGTGCATGCGATGCATACATGTGTCACGTAAAGAGAACAAGGGTTGAGGGAATAGGGAATGTTTTTCCTAAACAAATGAGGGATTTCGGTAACATAACTTTTTAGTCAGAAATGGCTGTAATTATGTTGCAGCTTCAGCAACACGGACAGCGCGATAAACACTGTTGATGTTCTGTGGTAGTCGCTGCTAGCAGGGAGGAGAGAGAGACAATGGGTGCTAGTCACAGTCACTCGCTGTATGAGCCAGGCCCGGCACAATCAAATCAATTGCTCGTCGGATTCCCTCTAGTCATTTGTGTGTCTTAGTTATTTAATCAAACCGTGTGCTTAAAGCATCAGACAAGCTCAGTGAATATTTACATTTACATTTTAGTCATTTAGTAGACGCTCTTATCCAGAGCGACTTACAGTTAGTATCATGAGGTTTAACATCAAGCCACTAAAGTAAATGACCAGTGAGATTGGTTAGTTGGACATGCAATACTTTTCTATACCTCCAGAAGAACTAAACAGTAAATACAGAGCTGGTTAAGAGTTCCTGATTGGCGTAGCGCGTTACATACACAGGACTTTATGCCTTAGTGAGCCTGGGGTAAATAATTATTCAAATGAGCAGTATAGGGAGAAAATGGCATCATTGATTTGTCCAATAAGTGCTTTGCCTGGCTCATTTGAATCTATTTAAATATACACGTTAACCTCTTACCGAATTATTATGGTCGTGTTCCTGGCCAACTACATTGCAGATGTTGCATTGCATCAGCCAACGGTTCTGTGCCCACGTCATCGACTGAACAGTCAGGCATCAGATTGCTATATCATATGATATGTTAAACACCAATCCAGGTGTTCTGAGATCTGGCATGTGTCTGCAACGTAGTCCGCCTGGAACACGACCTATAATAGAGTGCATCAACCATCCTACAGGAAGCCAGTACCCAGGCTGAATGGGGTAAACTTCTGAGCCTGCTGGGCACCAATCTCGGCCACATACAGAGCCCCCGTCTTCAGGTCCAGGTCCACTAGGTGGGGCTTGACGTCTTCAGCCAATTGGATGACACTGACCACCTGGCACTGACCAATCACACCCACAGGTGGAGCCTCCAGCAGGGAGATCTGATTGGTGTTCAGCTGCACAACCACAAAATATGTCTGGTCTGGTGTCAACCTGACAGAGTAGGGTGCGTCCTCATTCATTGAAACAGCTTCCCCATGTTCCAAGCCAGTCTCCAGTCACAGAATTAAACACCTGGATTCGCTTGTTTCCTCTGTCAGCAACTCACACCCTTTGATAGTTATCTACAGCCACACTATGGGGGATGTTGAACTGTGCAAGGCCCTGGCCCTTCTCTCTGTGCATCCATTGCACCTCTTCGGTCTTTGGACAGTTTGGTGAGGCGGTTGTTCATCCCTCCGTCCCTGTCCACTATGTAGATCTCCCCAGAGCTGTGGACAAAGACCTCAGCGGGCTGGTCAAACTGGAGAGGGTTGACCCCAGAGCCGGCTTCCCCCATTGAGCCCAGCACCTGGAGCAGCTTGCCCGAGGGAGAGTACTGCTTAATGGAGTGACCATGAGTGCCGTTTCCTACGTCCGTGACCCACACGGTGGGGTTGGTGGAGGCGTCGGCCAAAAAGATCCCATGGGGCATCTCCAGGGTGCTCGTGTTCCAGGCCTGTAGGAACTCTCCGTCTGTGGTGAACACCAGCACCTTTGGCACTGTCTCACCTCTCTGTGCAACATATACCATACCGGCATACTGGTTGACAGCCACTCCAAATACCTCGCCGCTGAAAAGCTCGGGATATTTGGGCCAGTTGATATCCAATTTGTACAGTGGTTGTCCTAGAAGTCTGTAATCTTGTTTTAGGCCAGATGTTTCCGATTGCTGTGAATGTATTGTACCATTTAATACCACCATAAGTAGAAAAAGTGTCCCCATGGTCGTCACTATCAAACACGAAGGATTTCGTATTTTCACGGGGAAACCTTGAAGGTTAATAATCAAATATCTCGGGCGCTTCCACCCAACCTAGCACCTTTGAATCAGACGAGACGACTAACGCTAATATAGTTGATTTGATTAAAACACATAGGATGTGTCAATATATGGAGAAATACACGTTTAAAAATGTCGACCAATCGATTGGTCGAAAGAACAGACAACTCTTGGCCTGACCAATATTTTTTTGGGTTGGGGACAGCCTAAGCTAGATACACCTACTTCAAACCCTTGCTAACTAATAAAACATTGCTATAGCCTACACAATACCGCAGATTATTTTACCAGACTCTTTCCAACACTTTCTTTCTGTGCCACCAAATGTTTGCATACTACCGGTAAAGTGAACAGGTTTACTAATACTGTAACATTATATGGAACGATGTTGTGCAAAACGATGACATGTGGCGCAGCCGAGAGCCGAGTGAACCGCATCACACAGGGTTGAGGAGGACACTGTGTCCCGGTGTTGTTGCCGTTCATGCTCTCCCCATTGACTAGTAGACTATATCACAGTGACATATACAGTAGATGGCTACCAATATTAGTTATTTCTTGTTTAGGTTGCCATCCTACTTAAAATATATTGAAAAACAAATTGGCCACATTACTAGCTACTGCCGGCGACACTGTGATAGGCTAGTGCTGCCCACTGCACCTTAGGTCGGCAGGCAGCTTGATACAACACTGGTGCTCTGGTCATTACAATCGGCTTTATTGGCTCGCGAGTACGCCCCACGACGTGGTTTACCGGTATGTGTAAAATGCGGCTCGTCATTCCGGGAAGAAACTTTGCGCTGGTAATATGTGGCAAAAATCTTTTGACCTGCTAGAAACAAGCCATTTCTATGTAGTACCTGTAAATTATTATCTGAGTGATGTTTTTCTAGGTCGCACAGCACAATATTTACAAGCAATTTTTAGCAGACCGAAATGGCTTGTGTCAACTTGAGCTAGCTAACTAGCTAGCTAACGTTAGCCAGCTAGCTAGCTAGGTTAGCAAAGAAAACGTGCAGTTTTCAACGTTGGCTAGCAATAAAAAATAAAGGTATTTTACTGTGCATTCTACAGTGTTTTACTGTTGAAATTACAGAAAGGTATTATAGTGTAGCCTCACTGCTGTTGGGTAGGACACACACATGCGCGCGCACATATGAACACGCACACGCACACGCACACACACACACACACACACACACACACACACACACACACACACACACACACACACACACACACACACACACACACACACATACAGTACATTGTAGCATTACTAGTGGTGTTTGTGTCGATAATGGGATACAAAGAGAGCCATTGACCTGTGTGTGTACATGTGCGTCAGTCAATTCTGTGTCTGTGTGAGTGTGTCTGTTTTCTATGTGTGAGTGTGTGTGTGTGTGTGTCTGTGTGTGTGTGTGTGTGTGTGTAACTGTGTGTGTAACAGTGTGTAACTGTGTGTGTGTGTGTGTGTGTGTGTGTGTGTGTGTGTGTGTGTGTGTGTAACTGTGTGTATGTGTTAGTCTGCTGGAGAAGATCCAGGCAGGGATCCCAGCCAGGGGGGGAAGAGTTTAATACAGTCCTGCTCTTAAAGGGAGGGTCAGGGAGTAGCTCATCAGCACAGAGCGAGAGACACAGAGGTTAACACAATCCCTTTAAATGTTCATGCTGCCAGTTCAGGGCAGTCAGAGGAGGACACATAAAGGAAGAATCCACCTGAAAAATAGTGATGCTTGTTCCCAAACCGTTTTAACGTTCTGGTGGACCACGTAAAACCTTCATCCTGAACTACTAAGAGGCACAAACATTATGGATGAATAGTGTTTCAGCTGGTAATACATGTTTCGAGTCATTTATATTTCTCAGCATTCAGCATTCACGATCCCACATTTAATTTGAGGCTTTGAGAATTACCAGTGCATTACTGAGTCGTGTGTCCTGCAGAAGCTATAGCAGGTGCCTTTCCAGCCTGATTAATCTATGTGAGGGATGACTACCTGCAGCATTATCAATGCCTGGCGTTATTGATGACTATCACTAGCATTAGAGGTGTGTGTTCTGATAGAGGAGATGAGTGGTGTTTACGATGTGGGATCTGAGTGATTTGTGTGTTGCCCAGTCTCCCCTATCCTTTATCCTTCTTTATAGCTGCCACCGTATACTCATTACACTCACTCAGTGTGTGTGTGTGTGTGTGTGTGTGTGTGTGTGTGTGTGTGTGTGTGTGTGTGTGGTGTGTGTGTGTGCGTGCGTGCGTGCGTGCGTGCGTGGGTGTGTGTGTGTGTGTGTGTGTGTGTGTGTGTGTGTGTGTGTGTGTGTGTGTGTGTGTGTGTGTGTGTGTGTGTGAGTGGGTGCGTGTGTGAGTGGGTGCGTGTGTGTGTGTGTGAGTGGGTGCGTGTGTGAGTGGGTGCGTGTGTGCGCCTCACTGTATACTGAGTACACACAGCAATAAAGGCACATGAAAACAGGAAAGGCATGAAAATAGGGTTGTTCTGCTGAACAAATGGGTTGCCAGGACGATCCTCTTTCCCATTATAATATATTTCCCCTGCTCTTGCTGATATGACATTAGGAGTGTGTGTGTTTTGGTTTACACAGCAGCCTGATTTGACTGAGGGCAAAATAACAGTAAACTTGACTTCTCTTGAGTTAAATGTTTTATAATGTTTTGAGGAGTTAATCGTTCTCACTCTCTCTCTCTCTCTCTCTCTCTCTCTCTCTCTCTCTCTCTCTCTCTCTCTCTCTCTCTCTCTCTCTCTCTCTCTCTCTCTCTCTCTCTCTCTCTCTCTCTGTATTTCTCTCTCAGAGTGGGCAGTAGATGTGTGTTGCTGGCTAGACACAAACAGACTAGATCAATAGCTGAACACCTCAGGGCCATACACAACAAGCTCTCACAGTCTCACGTCATCCATGTTTCTCAAACGGCAAATTTCAAAATTGTTGCAAACGTCAAATTTCGAAGTGTTTAAGGTTAGGCATTGACTCTGAATGGTTAAGGTAAGGGTTAAGGTTTGGGATAGGCTTAAACATAAAATATCAAAAACAAATTTCTATCACTAGATTTGAACCCTTTGGAATCAGAGGCAGATGCTTACACCCACCCGCCATCCCTGTTCACAACTCCCTATCAAAACCGAAACCTACTTGAAGGTAACAGCGCTCACTGTTGCACCTAGTGGCCAGTTTCCACGTCATCTCCCGACGTCCTTAGACATGGATGGACGTTGAATACTGACTTGTATCACGGGTGACCTGGCTTGCCATACAGCTCAGTGTGTGTGTGTGTGTGTGTGTGTGTGTGTGTGTGTGTGTGTGTGTGTGTGTGTGTGTGTGTGTGTGTGTGTGTGTGTGTGTGCTTGCGTGCGTGCGTGCGTACGCGTGATACAGCTCATCTCATCTGTGTTCAGTATCCTGAGGAGAGTCTGGTCTGTTTCTTGTTGTTTTGACAGGCAGCATACAACTACTTCTCTATTCTCCACAACCCAGAGAAAGACAGTAAATCTAGACAGACTCTGCTTTCCAGTCATACTGTTGGTTGCCAAGTTCTCTGTATGTGTATGCAATACTTATAAGCTCTACAATTCATTTACACACACGGAACCTGTGTAATAACGTGGTTATTTTTGTTGTTGACATTTTGGAGCAGACCAAAAGTCTTGTAAGCACTTATTTAGAATTCTGTTTCTGTTCATTTATTTTAAATGTCTGCTGTTTCTGTTGTTTTATTTAGAATGTCTGCTGTTTCTGTTGTTTTATTTAGAATGTCTGCTGTTTCTGTTGTTTTATTTAGAATGTCTGCTGTTTCTGTTGTTTTATTTAGAATGTCTGCTGTTTCTGTGGTTTTATTTACAATGTCTGCTGTTTCTGTTGTTTTATTTAGAATGTCTGCTGTTTCTGTTGTTTTATTTAGAATGTCTGCTGTTTCTGTTGTTTTATTTAGAATGTCTGCTGTTTCTGTTGTTTTATTTAGAATGTCTGTTGTTTCTATTGTTTTATTTAGAATTCTGTTTCTGTTATTTTATTTAGAATGTCTGCTGTTTCTGTTGTTTTATTTAGAATGTCTGCTGTTTCTGTTGTTTTATTTAGAATGTCTGCTGTTTCTGTTCTTTTATTTAGAATTCTGTTTCTATTATTTTATTTACAGTGTCTTGCAAAAGTATTCATCCCCCTTGGCATTTTTCCTATTTTGTTGCATTACAACCTGTAATTTAAATTGATTTTTATTTGGATTTCATGTAATGGACATACACAAAATAGTCCAAATTGGTGAAGGGAAATTCATTCTGTTGTTTTATTTAGAATGTCTGCTGTTTCTGCTGTTTTATTTAGAATGTCTGCTGTTTCTGTTCTTTGATTTAGCTCTCCTCAAGGGTTGCTGATGTTGTGTGGATGTTCTCCTGCCCTGGTTGCCTTACAGTAGTTAAGTCTACTCCCCTGGCTTGTGTTGTGTGTGTTTTGCTTTGTCCGTAGCTGTAGCTACAAAGCTCAGCTGTAACACAAACCCACTGCTTGTTACCAATCAGGATCCATGACCGGTTAATGCTCTCATTATAACCCAATCTGGAAACCCGAAACCACCCAAAACCATGTGAATCTGGCAACAGGACACCATGTAAATACCTACCAAGCGCACCGAGAATGGGACCAAAGATCAATTAGCCGCGCGGGAGGATACATTCCATTCTAATTTAAAGGCAACCCATGTCACTGTGGGATATGGTTGTCCCCGGTTGCGCATGTCTGGGTTGGGGATAGGCTGGATAGGCTTACAGTGAGTCCAGGTGTAACATGTCACCTCTAGTTAACAGAGCAGTTGCATCTTTCCATAGAGTGGTCATATTAGAATGTAGGCCAAACCGTTCGGACGCTACAGACGTTTTAATGAGAAGACCGATTTTTCTGGATGTTTCATGGTGTGACAAACACCGCTGTAGCTCGGCCACCTTCCACCGCAGATGTGAAAGGCCGACGTAGGCGGATGCAGTGGATTGAGAACTGATCTCTCTAGTTTAAACTGAAATATTTTGATGGGGATTTTTGTATTATGTTACTTAGATTGATGCACAGGTGCGTCAATAGACTCTTAAGGATTAAAATATTTCCTCAGGTTCACAGGGTTCTATCTTTCTATATCTCGATCTCTCTATTTATACAGTAACTATCTTCTCTCTCCCCCTCCTTCCCTCCTTCCATATCTCCTGCTGTTTTCCTGTTGTGACTCATACAGATGTAGGATCTTAATTTGTGCCAGTTTGCTACTGCATGAAAATAATCCTGCAGCAACAGGAAATATGAATTATTATGTGGATTATAATTAATGGACATTTCTGTAGGGGTTGATACATTTTTTGTTAGGGCAAATCAAGTCTGAAATTTCTAAATGGAAATTACAAACTTTAGAAGCCTTTTTAAAACTGAAATACACTACAAGTTTGCATTTCAAATTCTCAGCAAGAAAAGAGTGATCAAATTAAGATCCTACATCTGTAGCACATGACAACCAGCAGAACCATAGAGACTTGCCAACACGTGCACACACACTTCCACACACACACACACACACACACACACACACACACATCCACTCATTCTCAATAAGCCCTAGCTCCCAGCATGTCTTCACAGACTGGCTGACATTTGGTCCATCCCCAGGGGAGCCACATAGCCACTCTAACCCAGGAAACAGGCCTGTCACTGGGCCGCGTCTCTTCCACAGGTAGCCTCCCTGGAGCTCACCTGCCATCTACGCCCCTCCAGTGCTTGTAGTTCCCCGGACTGCCCAGAGCACTCTAGCTGCTGCGTCACAGACACACACACATACACACCCAACCCAAATACACAGACATACACACACACAGCCGCGTCAGGCCCTGAAATAGGGCCCAGGGACAACAACAGACTCATCTCCAGAGACTCACCGTGGTGATGACCTACATTCTCCTGCGGCCTACTTTACTTAAAGAGAGAGAGAGAGAGAGAGAGAGGGAGTGGGAGAGGGAGTGGGAGCTCGATCTGTTTCTGCCTGGCTTGGGGCTAATACATTCATGTCTGGGTAGAGTTGGCTGTGATTAGGAGTGGTGTAGTTGCTTTCCAGGTGTTTTGTGTTTTCCCATGTAACAGATTACACCCCTGGAGTGTTGTGTCATCCCCCCTTACAGTCTACCCAGTCTGCTGGAACACTGAGGTGTGTTACCTGTCCCCGGCAGCCACTGTGTGCTGGTGTATATTTCCACTCAGGGCTTGATTGGTCAGTAGGAATAATTAATTGTTTAGCCTCGGAGTCTGTCTCCAGTTTAGATCAGTGTGTGGTTAAATGGTAATGTTGAAAACCTGCCAGACATTGGCCTATGGAGTGAGTCAAGCATACAGTATCAGCCCACTCACTGTGTTTGTACTAGATGTATGTTTGTCTATAAGAGCGAGGTGGGTTGGTGAGTCATCTTGTCTTACAGGACATGGATAAAGACATGTTTTAAGGAGCAGTGGAATTGAAATGCATTGTGGGTGATTTGCCTCTGTGTTAAATCCTAACTGCCACAACATGGCCAAATTATAGTAGCTCAGATGACAGGTGTCATGGTATTTGTATCCCATATAATTCCTAAACTAACGTCCTGTCCTGTCCTGATTTGTCCTGCATGTCCTGTCCTGTTGGACAGTCCCATTGAGTGGTCTGAGGCAGATATGCAGCCCTGTCTCTGGCGTCCTCCCATGGCAAGCTACATTGACTGTCTCCATCACACGTTGTCATAGATCAGTAGGATCAATGGTGTTGTTAGACTGTACACTGATGAGGAGATCCATGTTTGTCGTTGCTGTCGATACGTCCGGCAGTGTAAGATAGATAGTGGCTGTGATCAGGTGTGTCTGTCTGTCTGACACGCAATACTGTAGGTCACAGATGACATGTCCTTCAGAAAGATTCAAGGAGAGATGAGCATTCATTGCCTCTGTATGAATACCACTTTTGTATCCATAAAAGTATCCTGCTACCGCTAATTGCTACAGTAGCCCACCACTACCAATGTAACCTGGTGCTGTTGTTTAAGGCCTGAGGCACAATTTACCTCCGATCTAGGGTCAGACCACCACTACCACTAACCCCAACCTTAACCATTAGAGGGATGAAAGTATTTCTGACCAAGTATCAGTGGTGAGGGTTAACCTCTACCATCTCCCTGCTAATATCAGCTACGTCTGTTAATGTGACCCTCACGGAAATACTTAGGACAGACAGAGTAACAAGATGAAGTATTGTAGAACTAAAGGCTTTGCTCTTCTTTCTTACCTCTTCAATTGCATGTCGAGTGCTTGATTAATGAAATGATCAGCTAATTGATCATCATGGTTGATCCACTGTGGAGCGGTGGGCAGTAGAGTGGAATTCCATGTATTCTCCAGGAGTGAGTCAGACTAGAGATGGGAGTCATGCTCTGATTAATGCCACACCACTCTGGATAAGTTATTCAATAGTTATTCAGTAGTGCTATTAGTGTCTCCAGTCTATCTATCCAATCCTGAGCTAGTGCAGAAACCAGTGGTCCTGATTACTCAGCTGGAAGATGGTGTGGTACTGTATGAATGCCGTCTTGCCAGCTTCGACCCAACTTTGCTATTTTGTGATTCTTTTGGCGTTTATCTATACTTTTTTTGCACTAAATGTATCCGCTATCATTTCTTATGATCGACAAGAACTTTTGAACATCAGGTCGGCAGTTACGATGTGAGTAAGACCTTCAAACAGGTCAACATTCACAAGGCCGCAGGGCCAGATGGATTACCAGGACATGTACTCCGAGCATGCGCTGACCAACTGGCAAGTGTCTTCACTGACATTTTCAACCTGTCCCTGACCGAGTCTGTAATGTTAACATGTTTCAAGCAGACCACCATAGTCCCTGTGCCCAAGAACACCAAGGTAACCTGCCTAAATGACTACCGACCCGTAGCATTCACGTCTGTAGCCATGAAGTGCTTTGAAAGGCTGGTCATGGCTCACATCAACACCATTATCCCAGAAACCCTAGACCCACTCCAATTTGCATACCGCCCCAACAGATCCACAGATGACGCAATCTCTATTGCATTCCACACTGCCCTTTCCCACCTGGACAAAAGGAACACATTTACATTACATTTGAGTCATTTAGCAGACGCTCTTATCCAGAGCGACTTACAGGAACAATTAGGGTTAAGTGCCTTGCTCAAGGGCACATCAGCAGATTTTTCACCTAGTCAGCTCGGGGATTAGAACCAGCGACCTTTTGGTTACTGGCACAACGCTCTTAACCACTAAGCTACCTGCCGCCCCGATAGTGCCCTCAAAGCTCATCGCTAAGCTAAGGACCCTGGGACTAAACACCTCCCTCTGCAACTGGATCCTGGACTTCCTGACGGGCCGCCCCCAGGTGGTAACAACACATCTGCCACGCTGATCCTCAACACGGGGGCCCTCAGGGGTGCGTGCTCAGTCCCCTCCTGTACTCCCTGTTCACCCATGACTGCATGGCCAAGCACAACTCCAACACCATCATTAAGTTTGCTGATAACACAACAGTGGTAGGCCTGCTCACCGACAACGATGAGACAGCATATAGGGAGGAGGTCAGAGACCTGGCAGTGTGGTGCCAGGATAACAACCTCTCCCTCAACGTGATCAAGACAAAGCAGATGATCGTGGACTACAGGAAAAGGAGTGCCGAGCACGCCCCCATTCTCATCTACGGCGCTGTAGTGGAGCAGGTTGAAGGCTTCAATTTCCTTGGTGTCCACCAACTAACTGTCATAGTCCAAACACACCAAGACAGTCGTGAAGAGGGCACGACAACGCCTATTCCCCATCAGGAGACTTAAAAGATTTGGCATGGGTCCTCAGATCCTCAAAAAGTTCTACAGCTGCACCATCGAGAGCATCCTGACTGGTTGCATCACCGCCTGGAATGGCAACTGCTCGGCCTCCTACCGCAAGGCACTATAGAGAGTAGTGCGTACGGCCCAGTACATCACTGGGGCCAAGCTTCCTGCCATCCAGGACCTCTATACTAGGCGGTTTCAGAGGAAGGCCCTAAAAATTGCCAAAGACTGTAGCCACCCTAGTCACAGACTGTTCTCTCTGCTACCGCACGGCAAGCGGTACCGGAGTGCCAAGTCTAAGGCTTCTAAACAGCTTCTACCCCCAAGCCATAAGATTCCTGAACAGCTACCCAAATAGCTACACGGACTATTTGCATTGTTTACTTCAGTTTATTTAGTAAATACTTTCTTAACACTTATTTTTTCTTAAAACTGCATTGTTGGTTAAGTGCTTGTAAGTAAGCATTTCATTGTAAGGTCTACACCTGTTGTATTCGGCGCATGTGACAAATACAATTTCATTTGATTTAATTTGATACTAACCTCAATTCCAACTTCAACTTTGACTCATCTGCCCTGGGCTCTTTGTGTAATTCTGACCCAATTTTCGGCCTCCTCAAGAGGAAATGCCGGGCAAAAAAAGAGGCAGTAGAGGGGGAGTCCTGCGAGATTAAGGCGAAGGGAAAACCTCTCACCTCTTCCCTTCATTCTATTGGGCAATAGATAATAAGATGGATGACCTCCGATAGTGGATTTGCTATTAACATGACTCTCGTAACTGCAATATTATCTGCTTTTCGGAAAAATGGCTTTCGGACAAGATGCCCTCCATGGCTATCCAACTCGATGGATTTTACATTCACCGAGTGGACAGGACATTGGATTCAGGGAAATTGAGAGGGGGAGGGGCATGCCTCTTCATCAACAGCAAATGGTGTACTGACTCAAGCGGAGTGAAAGTCTCGACCCAATGTTCACCCGTCTTGGAATACCTGTTGGTCAAATGCCAACCCTTCTACCTTCCGAGAGAGTTTTCAGCTGTTATTGTGACTGCTGTATATATTCCACCCCAGGACAAAAAAAACAACAAGCTGGCACTTTTCTCCTTCCCTGTACAAGGCTATATACAAGCAGGAAACCATGCATCCGGAGACTGCATTCCTTCTTGCCATTGATTTAAATTCTGAGTCATTAAGACACGTGATGCCCAACTTCCATCAACACGTCTCCTTCACTACTAGGGGCGATAAATTCCTAGACCACTGTTACTCTACCCACAAGCAAGCATACAAGGCCCTCCCTCGTCCCCCCTTCGGCAAATCAGATCAGGACTCTATAATCCTGCCCATAATGCACTCCGTAGAGAAATGGTCCACCTGTAGGCTATGCTACAGGACTGTTTTCCTAGCGCTGACTGGAATACAGTGAGCTCCAAAAGTATTGACACATTTGTTGTTGTTTTGGCTCTGTACTCCAGCACTTTGGATTCGAAATGATACAATGCCTATGAGGTTACAGTGCAGACTGTCAGCTTTAATTTGAGGGTATTTTCATCCATATCGGGTGAACCGTTTAGAAATTACAGCACTTTTTGTACATAGTCCCCCCATTTTAGGGAACCAAAAGTATTGGGACAAATTTACTTACAGTGAGGGAAAAAAATATTTGATCCCCTGCTGATTTTGTACGTTTGCCCATTGACAAAGAAATGATCAGTCTATAATTTTAATGAGGAAAATAAGTATTTGACCCCTCTGCATAACATGACTTAGTACTTGGTGGCAAAACCCTTGTTGGAAATCACAGAGGTCAGACGTTTCTTGTAGTTGGCCACCAGGTTTGCACACATCTCAGGAGGGATTTTGTTCCACTCCTCTTTGCAGATCTTCTCCAAGTCATTAAGGTTTCGAGGCTGACGTTTGGCAACTCGAACCTTCAGCTCCCTCCACAGATTTTCTATGGGATTAAGGTCTGGAGACTGGCTAGGCCACTCCAGGACCTTAATGTGCTTTTTCTTGAGCCACTCCTTTGTTGCCTTGGCCGTGTGTTTTGGGTCATTGTCATGCTGGAATACCCATCCACGACCCATTTTCAATGCCCTGGCTGAGGGAAGGAGGTTCTCACCCAAGATTTGATGGTACATGGCCTCGTCCATCGTCCCTTTGATGCGGTGAAGTTGTCCTGTCCCCTTAGCAGAAAAACACCCCCAAAGAATAATGTTTCCACCTCCATGTTTGACGGTGGGGATGGTGTTCTTGGGGTCGTAGGCAGCATTTGTCCTCCTCCAAACACGGCGGGTTGAGTTGATGCCAAAGCGCTCGATTTTGGTCTCATCTGACCACAACACTTTCACCCAGTTCTCCTCTGAATCATTCAGATGTTCATTGGCAAACTTCAGACGGCCCTGTATATGTGCTTTCTTGAGCAGGGGGACCTTGCGGGCATTGCAGGATTTCAGTCCTTCACAGCATAGTGTGTTACCAATTGTTTTCTTGGTGACTATTGTTAAGTTGCGTCAATTCAAATCTGGTATAGCAAAGAGGCAGTGTGTGTGTATGTGAGTCACAAGTCTGTCTCAGCCTACCCCCTAACGGTTCCTCACATTAATCACAGCTTGTTATGTTAAACAATCTATATCAGTACAGCACAAACCTATTATGTTTAATCATTAATGTATTCTTTCTAAGCTAGGCATCACATCTAGTTATAAGAAAATAGATCCCCACAATCCCCCTTTTCACACCCGCTGGGTTTGAACCCAAAATAAGAAATTTCAGGGAAATGTAGGATTCCCCCTTTTGACACCCACTAGGGTGTCACTCATTAAAATACAATACAAACAAAAATAATCACACTTTTATTAATAGGCAATAATGATAATAAAAAATAAAAACCCTCAGTCCTTCCATCTACACATAACTTGTACTAGGTTGGCTACCAGCCACCCAGGAACTTCAAACCTTCACATAAGGAAAGACAAACATTCACAATAGTTAAAATGGATTTATAAAACATAAAAACACAAACAGGGAATTTTGATTCCCCCTTTAGACACCCACTAGGGTGTCACTCCACCACCTCACCAATAGCAAACCAAGGGTCATCCTTTGTCAACCCCAGTTTCTTCCGAAAGCTAGACTCAGTGTCTGCATCCCCTTCTTGAGCCGCTAGGAGGGGCATCATACCAGCCGTATGCACGACATCTGTAACAGACTTTCTCAGACAAGGAATTACACAGGCAGCACAGCACATTAATATTAGAAACACAACTACTAGGGTCAGAAATCCAGTAACCACCAGTGCAGCATACTTACCAAACCACTCCCCAACCAGGAGAATAGTCAGTTTTCCTCCATTCCAGCCATGCTCTTCATTTCAGCTGATAGTTTATCTATACCAACTAGGGCTTTAGAGATACTCCCGTCAGGACTGGTATTGTTAGGGATAAACGTACCACAATGGCTTACCATTCTATAGACACCACCCCTTTCTGCCTGATCTAGAGCCAACCTCTTTTTACTAAGTCATAAGAGTAAGATGGCGGATAATTGTTCAAAGATCCCTTCTGTTGCATCCCTAGTCCAGCCAATACATCGTTGTTGGTCGTAATAGATATAATTAATCCAATCCACAATTCCGCTTGTCACCCACCAAAAGAACGTGGTAGTAAACCGTTCCCCTAATTGTTTCATAGCTCGGTATCCATCCGATACCCCCCTTGGTATCCCAATCGCATCCATCTAAATAGGGCTATTCACCTTCTTGTTAAAACTCCTCCTACATCTGTTTAATCCTTGGTTCCTGGTGACTAATTCTAACTAGCTGAACCAGTAGAACCAGGGCGCACGTATTTAGCCACCCTTTTGGAATTCTCTGCCTTACACTGCCTTTACTGGCACACGCCCACCACACATCGGTTACAGGGGCTGTAAGGTTCAAAATTCTCTCCTGTGCTTCCGAACTTAAGTCCGTCACATTACTACTATCTCCAATTGATAATTGGTGATGTCTTTGTTTCTCTTTACCCCCCATCTGGATGTTCAGTCCCCCTCGGTCTCATATCCCCATCCCTAAGTGTGTTTAAACACCTGAGTCTAGGAACAATCCGCCGTGGGGGCCGAACACGAATATAATGGGATTTTATAATCCCAAATTGCTTATTGACATGTACCCCACCCATTGGCTACGTCCCTAACCCTTATTTTGAATCTGACAGTCTGCCCTTCTCTGACTCCCATTTTGTAGGCCACTCGTCCTTGACGGTCAGTATGTCGGGTCGCTTCTCTTCTCTTTTACTTCTTAACAATGGTAAGGGCATAGCGTAATTGGTGGTGGATCTTGACATATCAAGACCATTACCGAGACTATGATGCAACTCAAGTTATCCATATTCCCAAAAACCGCCAACCCTCTCCTGTCCTCAGTCTTTCTGCTTGGTACTACCCCATACTCACACCCTGAGAACACACTACAGTGATGATAGGTCGGAGTAGGAGATCTTCGTTAACAGAGGTGATCCCCAGACCCTATTGGTCCAGTTCTTCTCTCTAACTCTGCATGTGTTCAGTGGTGCTTGCATGTGTTCTTACCTTTTTGCAGTGGGTAACGTGGACCCAGGTTGCTCTTTCTGCTATTCTAATGGCAAAGGCAGTGACCAATATAACCTGATAGGGCCCTTCCCAACAGGCCTGCTTCCAGTTTTTCTTCTTTAGGGACTGGATGCTCACCAGTCACCTGGTTAGATAGAGTGGGTCACCTTCTCCTTCAGTTCACCTGTGGGGCACAAAACCTCTGACATACGGGTGTGGTTAATAAACTATCTTCACACGTGTTCAGCTCTCAATTTCTATTTCTGACTGCATTCTCTTTCTAGACTGTATCTTTTTTTTTTTTTTTTTGTATTTCGTCCTTCGTATATATTTATTATTTAATCCTACCATCTCCTACCATCCCCCTTTTGACACATGTTTTGCCCATGTGTCAATATTACCACCTACCTAAACAATCACTTAGGTAATTGTCACGATCGTCTAATGAGGGAGACCAAAGCGCAGCGCGTTGAGCGAACATGACTTTCGTGACAGAAAAACCCACCTTAACCAGATCAAGCAGCATGAAGAAGAGAGAGGATGGACTTGGGAGCAGTTGAGTAGGAGTCTCGACTGGGCCAAGCCAAGAGAAGAGGAGAGAGGTTGGACTTTGGAGCAGTGGGGTGATAGTCTGGCGAGAACGATGGAGGCCTGGTCCACGAAGAGGAGAGAACCCCAGAAAATTTTTAGGGGGGGGCTCATGACGTCGGACCAGCAGGAGGCCGCGATAGAGCGGTCCAGCGGGTTGCCGGAGGAGGCCGTCGGGTTACGGGGGCCACTGGTCGAAGAGGGGATGGAGGAAGTAGAGGCACGGCGAGAGGTACTGGCGTGTTTGCCAGTCCGGTCCGGCCCGTTCCAGATCCGGTTAGGGCCAGTGGTGTGTGTCCCCAGTACAGTCCGGCCCATCCAAGCTGCCCGCACCAAGCCAGTGGTGTGCGTCGTCAGCCCTGTCCGGCCCGTTCCTGCTCTCCGCGCCAAGTCTGTGGTGCGCGTCGCCAGCCCTGTCAGACCCGTGCCTGCTCTCCGCACCAAGTCTATGGTGCGTTTCGTCAGCCCTGTCCGGCCCGTTCTGCTCTCCGCACCAGGTCTGTGGTTGCGCGTCGCCAGCCCAGTCCGGCCCATCCAAGCTCCCCGCACCAGGTCAGTGGTGCGCGTCGCCAGCCCTGGTCCTGCCCGTGCTGCTCTCCGCACCAAGTCTATGGTGCGTTTCGTCAGCCCTGTCCGGCCTGTATCCTGCCACTCGCACCAAGCAAGGGTGCGAGTTCCCATTCTGCCTGTTCCTGCACTCGCACCAAGTCAGGGAGTCGTCAGCCGATTCAGCCTGCTACTCGCACCAGGGTGCGAGTGTCAGCCGATTCAGCCATTTGTACGCACCAGCAAGGGTGGAGTAGTCAGCCGATTAGCCATTATGTACTCGCACCAATCCAGGATGCGGCTCACGGTGAGCCTGTCCTAACGCACAGGGGTGCGTTGTCTGCGGTCCGGTCCATCCTGCCTCACGCGCCAAGGCCAGGGGTGCGCGTCGGCAGTCCTGATCCAGCTAACTGGGTTCAGATCGGCACTTGGGGCACCACGGGGGGATTGTAGTAGGGTGGGTGGTCAAGCCCGGAGCCGGAAGCCCGCCCTCCGAGGAGCAATACCCCACGCCAGCCCTTCCCTATTTGGGGTGTAGTGCGCGGTTCGGAGTCCGCGCCTTTAGGGGGGGGTACTGTCACGCTCTGGCTCCGGGACTGTGTATTTTGAGCCAGGGTGTGTTCATTTGGTTGTGTTTGGTATTGGTTGTGTTGTATTTGGTTGTTTCCTTGTTTGGTCGTGTGACTCCCAATCAGTGGTAACGAGTGTCAGCTGTCGGCTCGTTATCTCTGTCAGTGTTCACCTTAGTGTTGTGGGTTTTTGTTCCTTGTCAGTCATTGTAACTGAGGACTTCACGATTCGTCATTGTTTGTTGTTTTTTGTAGTGAGTACTTTAATTTAATAAAGTCATGTTCGCTCAACGCGCTGCGCTTTGGTCTCCCTCATTAGACGATCGTGACAGTAATATTGGTAATTTATCATCCAATTGCCATCCCTTATTTTTACCCCCTAATTTTAACATAACAACCCTTTATAACCATCATACTAGGTGTGTTGTTTTTTATTTGAAAACCCAATTTGAAAAACAACAACCACAAATAGCCAGGCCCCACTTAATTTGGTAGCTCACTTTTATGACCTAAATACTGCCTAAATTCACTACTGCTCCCCCTAGCCCTGGGCAACATTCCAATGAGATAAACTAATCTCTTTCTCCTGGTTATACATTTAGTTAACCTTCAATTACCATCAGTAATCTAAAGATGGTAGTACACACAAAACATGATACAGATATCCCCAGTCCTAACCCATCAATAATTGTTTGTATCAATCTAATTCCTCATAACTAATCCATAAAACCACTCAAAATTCCTCGAGTATACAATGATTATTTAATTGATTACCCTAAATCTGCTACATGTGATCTCATCACAAATGATCCATTATCAATTATTTGATCAACCCCCTAGGAAAATCTGTCTCCCCTTCTATTGTTCCTGTCCCTCCTGTAAATGTCATATTTCATTTTTTTGCCAATACAATCACGGTTACATCAAATGTTCCCTCCTTTGGCCATTTAGTTACTATCGTTCTGGTCCTTTTTCTCATTTGTTAGAGATATTACCAATATCTTCACTATTTTCTGGGAACCTTCTCTTCATGATTGCTACTGGTGATCCTGCCATCTCTACTTCTGGTGTGGTCTAATGTCTATATTAGGGTGTAAGGTAAATTATTCCTGTTGTCTTTTTCAGCTAAACATTTTATATCCCTCAGTTAATGATATTTTCTCCCTAATACATCTTCATACTCTGCCTCTTTCCCTAAATGAGATTTAATCCCTTGCCTTTCCTCTACTATCCTTCTATCATTACTGGATCAATGATAATAACTGTAATAACTATTAATAATAATTGTAATAACTATTTCACATTAAATTGTGCCTTTTTTTGATAATGTTATAATTGTAGCCTATTGCATTACTTTAGTATCGCTGGCGCACAGGCTGGTCCCAGCCCCTTGGTGCTTCACTGTTGCCAGGCATTAGTTGTTATCTTTACAACTTGTCTCGAGTCAGCAACCTCAGACATCTTTGTAGCAGAACACATGTCCTTGAGCGGTTTAACAAAGAGGCAGTGTGTGTGTATGTGAGTCACAAGTCTGTCTCAGCCTACCCCCTAACGGTTCCTCACATTAATCACAGCTTGTTATGTTAAACAATCTATATCAGTACAGCACAAACCTATTATGTTTAATCATTAATGTATTCTTTCTAAGCTAGGCATCACATCTAGTTATAAGAAAATAGACCCCCACACTATGGTCCCAGCAGCCTTGAGATCATTGACAAGATCCTCCCGTGTAGTTCTGGGCTGATTCCTCACCGTTCTCATGATCATTGCAACTCCATGTGCGGAAAAATCGCACCAACTGTTGTCACCTTCTCACCAAGCTGCTTGGCGATGGTCTTGTAGCCCATTCCAGCCTTGTGTAGGTCTATAATCTTGTCCCTGACATCCATGGAGAGCTCTTTGGTCTTGGCCATGGTGGAGAGTTTTGAATCTGATTGATTGATTGATTGCTTCTGTGGACAGGTGTCTTTTATACAGGTAACAAACTGAGATTAGGAGCACTCCCTTTAAGAGTGTGCTCCTAATCTCAGCTCGTTACCTGTATAAAAGACACCTGGGAGCCAGAAATCTTTCTGATTGGTCAAATACTTATTTCCCTCATTAAAATGCAAATCAATTTCTAACATTTTTGGCATGCGTTTTTCTGGATTTTTTTTTTGTTATTCTGTCTCTCACTGTTCAAATAAACCTACCATAAAAATTATAGACTGATCATTTCTTTGTCAGTGGGCAAACGTACAAAATCAGCAGGGGATCAAATACTTTTTTCCCTCACTGTATATGTGTAAAGTGTAGTATTTGGTCCCATATTCCTAGCACGCTATTCCTAGCATGCAATGATTACATCAAGGTTGTGACTCTACAAACTTGTTTGATGCATTTGTTGTTTGTTTTGGTTATGTTTCAGATTATTTTGTGCCCAATAGAAATTAATGGTAGATAACGTATTGTGTCATTTTGGAGTGAATTCTACATTAATGATTATGAATAGTCCTGAATGAATTGTGAATAATGATGCGTGAGAAAGTTACAGATGCACAAATATCATACCCCCCCCAAAAATGCTAACCTTCCCTGTTATTGTAATTATGAGAGGTTAGCATGTCTTGGGGGTATGATAGCATCGACAAGCTAACCACCTCCGTCACCAGCTTCATTAGGAAATGCATTGCCGAAGTTGTCCCGCTCATCGTACTGGGCGACTTCAACCTCCCAACGTCTGCCTTCGATTCATTTATTTTGGAGTGTGTACACTTATTACTATGACATTATTAACAGGGCACCACTAGCTCTGAGTCAGCAAGAAACTATAAAATAGTTACAATTATAACTACTGTTAACTTGTAATTCTGAAGGCAAATAAGATGACAAGGCAATTTATTCTTGGAGACAGTATATATTTTATATGACAAAAAATATTTATTTAGAAATAACCAGGGTAAAGCAATGAATAATGGAGATTGTGATGGCAACCAGCTTCACCTGGAATGCTTTTCCAACAGTCTTGAAGGAGTTCCCACATATGCTGAGGACTTGTTGGCTGTTTATCCTTCACTCTGTGGTCCAACTCATCCTAAACCATCTCAATTTGTTTGAGGTCGGGGGATTGTGGAGGCCAGGCCATCTGATGCAGCACTCCATCACTCTCCTTCTTGGTAAAATAGCCATTACCCAGCCTGGAGGTGTGTTGGGTCATTATCCTGTTGAAAAACAAATGATAGTCCCACTAAACCCAAACCAGATGGGATGGCGTATTGCTGCAGAATGCTGTGGTAGCCATGCTGGTTAAGTGTGCCTTGAATTCTAAATAAATCACAGACTGTGTCACCAGCAAAGCACCCCCACACCATAACAGCTCCTCCTCCATGCTTTACGGTGGGAAATACACATGCGGAGATCATCCGTTCACCCACAACGCGTCTCACAAAGACACAGCGGTTGGAGCCAAACATCTCCGATTTGGACTCCAGACCAAAGGACAAATTTCCACCGGTCTAATGTTCATTACTTGTGTTTCTTGGCCCAAGCAAGTCTCTTCTTCTTATTGGTGTCCTTTAGTGATTTCTTGGCAGCAATTCGACCATGAAGGCCTGATTCACACAGTCTCATCTGAACAGTTGATGTTGAGATGTGTCTGTTACTTTAACTCTGTGAAGCATTTATTTGGGCTGCAATTTCTGAGGCTGGTAACTCTTATGAACTTATCCTCCACAGCAGAGGTAACTCTGGGTCTTCCATTCCTGTGTTCGGTCCTCATGAGAGCCAGTTTCATCATAGTGCATGATGGTTTTTGCGACTGCACTTGAAGAAACTTTCAAAGTTCTTGAAATGTTCCGTACTGACTGACCTTCATGTCTTAAAGTAATGATGGACTGTCGTTTCTCTTTGCTTATTTGAGCTGTTCTTGCCATAATATGGACTTGGTCTTTTACCAAATAGGGCTGTCTTCTGTATACCTTGTCACAACACAACTGATTGGTTCAAAAGCATTAAGAAGGAAAGAAATTCCACAAATTACCTTTTAAGAAGGCACACCTGTTAATTGAAATGCATTCCAGGTGACTACCTCATGAAGCTGGTGGAGAGAATGCCAAGAGTGTGCAAAGCTGTCATCAAGGCAAAGGGTGTGTCACGATCGTCTGACGAATGAGACCAAAGCGCAGCGCGTTGAGTGAACATGACTTTATTAAATTAAAGTACTCAATGCCAAAACAACAAACAATGACGATACGTGAAGTCCACAGTGACAAAGACTGAATACGGAACAAAAACCCACAACACTAAGGTGAACACTGACAGTTTAAATATGGCTCCCAATCAGAGATAACGAGCCGACAGCTGACACTCGTTACCACTGATTGGGAGTCACACGACCAAACAAGGAAACACAACCAAAACCAAACCAAACACAACAAAACGAACACACCCTGGCTCAACATACAAAGTCCCGGAGCCAGAGCGTGACAGGGTGGCTATTTGAAGAATCTCAAATATAACATATATTTTGATTTGTTTAACACTTATTTGGTTACTACATGATTCCATATGTGTTATTTAATAGTTTTGATGTGTTCACTATTAGTCTACAATGTAGAAAATAGTAAAAATAAAGAAAAACCCTTGAATGAGTAGATGTTCTAAAACCTTTGAGAGGTAGCGTACATGTTTATTTCCCAGATATACAAGTGTCTTCTCACGTCATGTCAGTATCATTTGTTTAATTTCTGATCCAGAAAATGGCTCATAAAAGCCATGCCTGTTGCTTGTGTTGCTTGCAGTAAGCTACACCTGTCGCTTGTGTTGCTTGCAGTAAGCCACGCCTGTCGCTTGTGTTCCTTGCAGTAAGCCATGCCTGTCGCTTGTGTTTCTTGCAGTAAGCCACGCATGTAGCTTGTGTTCCTTGCAGTAAGCCACGCCTGTCGCTTGTGTTACTTGCAGTAAGCCACGCCTGTCGCTTGTGTTCCTTGCAGTAAACCACACATGTAGCTTGTGTTCCTTGCAGTAAGCCACGCCTGTCACTTGAGTTCCTTGCAGTAAGCCACACCTGTAGCTTGTGTTCCTTGCAGTAAGCCACGCCTGTAGCTTGTGTTCCTTGCAGTAAGCCACGCCTGTCGCTTGTGTTTCTTGCAGTAAGCCACGCATGTAGCTTGCGTTCCTTGCAGTAAGCCACGCCTGTCGCTTGTGTTCGTTGCAGTAAGTCATGTCTGTAGCTTGTGTTCCTTGCAGTAAGTCATGTTTGTAGCTTGTGTTCCTTGCAGTAAGCCATTGTTATTTTCTTTCTGCCCTCAAATGATGTCATCATTACATTCTATGTTCAGAAAATGACATCACCAAAAAGTAGAAATGACAGCTAAAATGTTGTCAGAGACAAAAATGTTGTTGGGGCTTATTTAATTAAGCATAAATTAGAATTATTATTAAGTGTTATGGTTTTTGTAGAGACCTTTGCCTCTCACCTTTAAAGACTCCAACCACCCAAGCCATAGGCCGTTCTCTCTGTCTGACACCAACAGGCTCCTGAACAACTTCAATATTCAAGCCATAAGACTACTAAATAGCTAACAAAATGGCTACACAGACTATCTGCATTGACCCTTCTATTTTATTTGTATTTCTGCACTGACTCTATGTACATTCACAGGACTCTACACTCTTACTCTCATACACTCACACTGACACTCCAACATCCACACACACACACACACACTTAATTTGCTCACACACACAACACTCACACACATTCCTGTTGACACTACACACACACTCACATGCAATCATCATATACACTGCTGCTACTCTGTTTGTCATGTATCCTGATACCTAGTCACCTTACCCCTATACATATCTAATCCTACCACTCCAGTGTCCTTGCACATTGTAAATATGGTATTGGCACTGACCCTGGAACTGACCCTGTATATAGCTTAATTACTTTCTCATGTTCTTATTATTTCTATTTCTCGTGTGTTTTTGTTCTACTTGACATTTTTTATAGTACTACTTATATTGATTACTACATTGTTGGGAAATACAGTGGGGGAAAAAAGTATTTAGTCAGCCACCAATTGTGCAAGTTCTCCCACTTAAAAAGATGAGAGAGGCCTGTAATTTTCATCATAGGTACACGTCAACTATGACAGACAAATTGAGAAAAAACTATCCAGAAGATCATATTGTAGGATTTTTAATGAATTTATTTGCAAATTATGGTGGAAAATAAGTATTTGGTCACCTACAAACAAGCAAGATTTCTGGCTCTCACAGACCTGTAACTTCTTCTTTAAGAGGCTCCTCTGTCCTCCACTCGTTACCTGTATTAATGGCACCTGTTTGAACTTGTTATCAGTATAAATGACACCTGTCCGCAACCTCAAACAGTCACACTCCAAACTCCACTATGGCCAAGACCAAAGTGCTGTCAAAGGACACCAGAAACAAAATTGTAGACCTGCACCAGGCTGGGAAGACTGAATCTGCAATAGGTAAGCAGCTTGGTTTGAAGAAATCAACTGTGGGAGCAATTATTAGGAAATGGAAGACATACAAGACCACTGATAATCTCCCTCGATCTGGGGCTCCACGCAAGATCTCACCCCGTGGGGTCAAAATGATCACAAGAACGGTGAGCAGAAATCCCAGAACCACACGGGGGGACCTAGTGAATGACCTGCAGAGAGCTGGGACCAAAGTAACAAAGCCTACCACAGTAACACACTACGCCGCCAGGGACTCAAATCCTGCAGTGCCAGACGTGTCCCCCTGCTTAAGCCAGTACATGTCCAGGCCCGTCTGAAGTTTGCTAGAGTGCATTTGGATGATCCAGAAGAGCATTGGGAGAATGTCATATGGTCAGATGAAACCAAAATAGAACTTTTTGGTAAAAACTAAACTCGTCGTGTTTGGAGGACAAAGAATGCTGAGTTGCATCCAAAGAACACCATAGCTACTGTGAAGCATGGGGGTGGAAACATCATGCTTTGGGGCTGTTTTCTGCAAAGGGACCAGGATGACTGATCCGTGTAAAGGAAAGAATGAATGGGGCCATGTATCGTGAGATTTTGAGTGAAAACCTCCTTCCATCAGCAAGGGCATTGAAGATGAAACGTGGCTGGGTCTTTCAGCATGACAATGATCCCAAACACACCGCCCGGGCAACGAAGGAGTGGCTTCGTAAGAAGCATTTCAAGGTCCTGGAGGGGCCTAGCCAGTCTCCAGATCTCAACCCCATAGAAAATCTTTGGAGGGAGTTGAAAGTCTGTGTTGCCCAGCGACAGCCCCAAAACATCACTGCTCTAGAGGAGATCTGCATGGAGGAATGGGCCAAAATACCAGCAACAGTGTGTGAAAACCTTGTGAAGACTTACAGAAAAAGTTTGACCTGTGTCATTGCCAACAAAGGGTATATAACCAAGTATTGAGAAACTTTTGTTATTGACAAAATACTTATTTTCCACCATAATCTGCAAATAAATTCATTAAAAATCCTACAATGTGATTTTCTGGATTTTTTTTCTCATTTTGTCTGTCATAGTTGACGTGTACCTATGATGAAACTTACAGGCCTCTCTCATCTTTTTAAGTGGGAGAACTTGCACAATTGGTGGCTGACTAAATACATTTTTTTCCCCACTGTACCTTGCAAGAAAGGCATTTCACTGTCCTTGTGCACGTGACAATAAAACTTGAAACTTGGTTGGAGTGTGTTGCTACAGTTTGTGTGTGTTGCTACAGTGTGTGTGTGTGTGTTGTTACAGTTGGAGTGTGTTGCTACAGTTGGAGTGTGTTGCTACAGTTGGAGTGTGTTGAAACAGTTGGAGTGTGTTGCTACAGTTATAGTGTGTTGCTACAGTTGGTGTGTGTTGCTACAGTTTGTGTGTGTTGCTACAGTTGGTGTGAGTTGCTACAGTTGGAGTGTGTTGCTACAGTTGGTGTGTGGTGCTACAGTTGGAGTGTGTTGCTACAGTTGGTGTGTGTTGCTACAGTTGGAGTGTGTTGCTACAGTTGGAGTGTGTTGCTACAGTTGGTGTGTTGCTACAGTTGGAGTGTGTTGCTACAGTTGGAGTGTGTTGCTACAGTTGGTGTGTGTTGCTACAGTTGGAGTGTGTTGCTACAGTTGGTGTGTGTTGCTACAGTTGGTGTGTGTTGCTACAGTTGGTGTGTGTTGCTACAGTTGGAGTGTGTTGCTACAGTTGGTGTGTGTTGTTACAGTTGGAGTGTGTTGCTACATTTGGAGTGTGTTGCTACGGTTGGTGTGTGTTGCTACAGTTAGTGTGTGTCGCTACATTTGGAGTGTGTTGCTACAGTTGGAGTGTGTTGCTACGGTTGGTGTGTGTTGCTACAGTTTGTGTGTGTTGCTACAGTTGGAGTGTGTTGCTACAGTTGAAGTGTGCTGCTACAGTCGGTGTGTGTTGCTACAGTTGGTTTGTGTTGCTACAGTTGGTGTGTGTTGCTACAGTTGGAGTGTGTTGCTACAGTTGGTGTGTGTTGCTACAGTTGGAGTGTGTTGCTACAGATTGAGTGTGTTGCTACAGTTGGTGTGTGTTGCTACAGTTGGTGTGTGTTGCTACAGTTGTAGTGTGTTATCTACAGTTGAAGTGTGTTGCTACAGTTAGTGTGTGTTGCTACAGTTGGAGTGTGTTGCTACAGTTGGTGTGAGTTGCTACAGTTGTAGTGTGTTATCTACAGTTGAAGTGTGTTGCTACAGTTAGTGTGTGTTGCTACAGTTGGAGTGTGTGCTACAGTTTGGTGTGGGAGTTGCTACAGTTGGTAGTGTGTTATCTACAGTTGGAGTGTTGTTGCTACAGTTGGTGTGTTTGCTACAGTGGTGTGTGTTGCTACAGTTGGGGTGTGTTGCTACAGTTGGTGTGTGTTGCTACAGTTGGTGTGTGTTGCTACAGTTGGTGTGTGTTGCTACAGTTGGTGTGTGTTGAAACAGTTGGAGTGTGTTGCTACAGTTGTAGTGTGTTGCTACATTTGGAGTGTGTTGCTACAGTTGGAGTGTGTTGCTACAGTTTGTGTGTGTTGCTACAGTTGGTGTGTGTTGCTACAGTTGGAGTGTGTTGCTACAGTTGGTGTGTGTTGCTACAGTTGGTGTGTGTTGCTACAGTTGGAGTGTGTTGCTACAGTTGGTGTGTGTTGCTACAGTTGGAGTGTGTTGCTACAGTGGGAGTGTGTTGCTACAGTTTGTGTGTGTTGCTACAGTTGGTGTGTGTTGCTACAGTGGGAGTGTGTTGCTACAGTTGGTGTGTGTTGCTACAGTTGGTGTGTGTTGCTACAGTTGGTGTGTGTTGCTACAGTTGGAGTGTGTTTGCTACAGTTGGAGTGTGTTGCTACAGTTGGTGTGTGTTGCTACAGTTGGAGTGTGTTGCTACAGTTGGTGTGTGTTGCTACAGTTGGTGTGTGTTGCTACAGTTGGTTTGTGTTGCTACAGTTGGAGTGTGTTGCTACAGTTGGTGTGTGTTGCTACAGTTTGTGTGTGTTGCTACAGTTGGTTTGTGTTGCTACAGTTGGTGTGTGTTGCTACAGTTGGGGTGTGTTGCTACAGTTGGAGTGTGTTGCTACAGTTGGAGTGTGTTGCTACAGTTGGTGTGTGTTGCTACAGTTGGAGTGTGTTGCTACAGTGGGAGTGTGTTGCTACAGTTGGTGTGTGTTGCTACAGTTTGTGTGTGTTGCTACAGTTGGTGTGTGTTGCTACAGTTGGAGTGTGTTGCTACAGTGGGAGTGTGGTGGAGTGGCCCAAACATTTATCATGTGGTCCTCTGTAGCTCAATTGGTAGAGCATGGCGCTTGTAACGCCAGGGTAGTGGGTTCGATCCCCGGGACCACCCATACGTAAAAATGTATGCGCACATGACTGGTAAGTCGCTTTGGATAAAAGCGTCTGCTAATGGCTTCATTGTGTGTGTATGCAGTGTCGTTTGTGACGCTACAGTGGTTGTGTTGTACCAGTGGATGGGCACAATATGTTTGAAATTGTGTGTGCTACAGTGGATGTAGTTGCTACGAGTTGGAATAGCGTTGCTAAGTTGGCGTTTGTAATTATTATTAGTTAGTGTCGTTTGCTACAGTTGAGTGTTGTTGCTACAGTTGGTGTGTGTTGCTACAGTTGGTGGTGTTGCTAACAGTTGAGTGTGTGTGTTGCTACAGTTGGTGTGTTGCTAAGTTTGTGTGTAGTGTGGCTACATTGGTGGTGTTGCTACAGTGGAGTGTGTGCTACAGTTGGAGTGTGTTGCAAAATTATTGTGGTCCCTGTACTCAATTGAGAGATGGCTTGTACAGTAGTTGGTTGCACCGGGACAATACGTTGAAAATGTATGCGACATGAGTGTGTTGCTACAGTTTGTGTGTGTTGTACAGTTGTGTGTTGTTGACTACAGTTGGGAGTGTGTGTTGCTACAGTTGGAGTGTGTTCTAAGTTGGAGTGTGTTGCTACAGTTTGTGTGGGTGTTGCTACAGAATGAGTGTGTTGCTACAGTTGGATGTGGTTGCTACAATTGGTGTGTGTTGCACAGTTGGAGTTGTTAAATGTATGTTCAGTGTTGTTGCTACATTGGTGTGAGTTGCTACAGTTGGTAGTGTGTTTCTACAGTTGGTGTGTTGCTACAGTTGTTGGGTGTTGCTACAGTTGTGTGTGTTGCTACAGTTTGGGTGTGTTGCTACAGTTGGTATGTGTTGCTACAGTGAGTGTGTTGCTACATTTGATGTGTTGCTACAGTTGTGTGTTGTTACAGTGGTGTGTTGCTAGCGTTGAGTAGTGTTGATACAGTTGGTGAGTGTGTTGGTCCTTACAGTTGAGTGTGTTGCTACAGCTGTGCTGATGTGCTATTAGTTGGTGTAGTGTTGCTACAGTTGGTGTTTGCTACAGTTGGTGTGTTGCTACAGTTGGTGGTTGCTACAGTTGGTGTGTGTTTGCTACAGTTTGTGTGTGTTGCTACATTTGGTGTGTGTTGCTACAGTTGGTGTGTGTTGCTACAGTGGGAGTGTGGTGGAGTGGCCCAAACATTTATCATGTGGTCCTCTGTAGCTCAATTGGTAGAGCATGGCGCTTGTAACGCCAGGGTAGTGGGTTCGATCCCCGGGACCACCCATACGTAAAAATGTATGCGCACATGACTGTAAGTCGCTTTGGATAAAAGCGTCTGCTAAATGGCATATTATTATTATTATTATCATCTTATGACCTACAGTGTTGTGGTGTAATGTGTACGTCTAGGGATGGGAAACTTTGATGTGGGTGGTGGCCACAAAATATCATGAGGGGCCGCAGTTGCTTACGAGTCTGCGTACCCACATCCAAACCCCCCCCTCCGGGTGAAGAGAAATGTTTGCAGTTTTAAAATATTATATCAACGTGAGACTGACTAACAAAATCAATGGGGGCCCCCAGCAGGTAATTTGACCACGTAAATAGCTGGCCGCAAAAGTAAGAGAGCTGGCCACCAGTTGCCCGTCCCTGGTCTAGATGTATAGAAAGAGAAATTGCCATGCTCAGCTGAAATGTTTGTAGTAAAAAATATATTTGGGTGCCTGGTTCAAAAGGCATATACTGGAAGAAAGGAAAATCCTGCACTCACTGAAATATTCTTTATGTTTTAATGTCTTATTTTTTAATTATAGGATGCGTTTGTTTTGACCTCTGCTGCTAAAAAATAAGACATTAAACTTTAAGAATATTTGAGTGAGTGTGTGGGTTTTCCTTTCTTCTTCTAGATGCACCCAGCCAGTGAGCTGAGAAACAGCCATGTTTATTAAGGAGATAGAGATATGATGCCAGACCATGCCTTGCCTATATTCTCTTAGCGCTGTCTCCTAAATCACGCTGTTTGTTCATTCCACCAAGCCACTAAAACACATTAGTCAAACCACTGAACCTCTGGATGGAGGGAAAGAAGGAAACAACTCTTGATTACCAACATACTGATACGCGATACATACTACGGTTTGGGACTGTTAAGGGAGATTGGGCTGAACAAGAGCATGAAGTTCCCAGGAGATATAATAACATGGAATTTGATAGGGCCTATAAGACTGTATTGCACGTCAATAGAGTTAGGGCGATACAGTGATACAGTGACATGTTACATTGGAGTACTGTCATCTGACGTCTGGCCTTTCAAAAGACCCGGTTAACACTGAATAGCAGTTCCTGAGACCCGGTTAACACTGAATAGCAGTTCCTGAGCCCCGGTTAACACTGAATAGCAGTTCCTGAGCCCCGGTTAACACTGCATAGTAGTTATTGAGACCCGGTTAACACTGAACAGCAGTTACTGAGACCCGGTTAACACTGAATAGCAGTTACTGAGACCCGGTTAACACTGAATAGCAGTTACTGAGACCCGGTTAACACTGAATAGCAGTTACTGAGACCCGGTTAACACTGAATAGCAGTTACTGAGACCCGGTTAATACTGAACAGCAGTTACTGAGACCCGGTTAACACTGAACAGCAGTTACTGAGACCCGGTTAACACTGAATAGCAGTTACTGAGACCCGGTTAACACTGAATAGCAGTTACTGAGACCCGGTTAACACTGAATAGCAGTTACTGAGACCCGGTTAACACTGAATAGCAGTTACTGAGACCCGGTTAATACTGAACAGCAGTTACTGAGACCCGGTTAACACTGAACAGCAGTTACTGAGACCCGGTTAACACTGAATAGCAGTTCCTGAGACCTGGTTAACACTGAACAGCAGTTACTGAGACCCGGTTAACACTGAATAGCAGTTACTGAGACCCGGTTAACACTGAACAGCAGTTACTGAGACCCGGTTAACACTGAATAGCAGTTACTGAGACCCGGTTAACACTGAATAGCAGTTACTGAGACCCGGTTAATACTGAACAGCAGTTACTGAGACCCGGTTAACACTGAACAGCAGTTACTGAGACCCGGTTAATACTGAACAGCAGTTACTGAGACCCGGTTAACACTGAACAGCAGTTACTGAGACCCGGTTAACACTGAATAGCAGTTCCTGAGACCTGGTTAACACTGAACAGCAGTTACTGAGACCCGGTTAACACTGAATAGCAGTTACTGAGACCCGGTTAACACTGAATAGCAGTTACTGAGACCCGGTTAACACTGAATAGCAGTTACTGAGACCCGGTTAACACTGAATAGCAGTTACTGAGACCCGGTTAATACTGAATAGCAGTTACTGAGACCCGGGTTTAAAACACAGAATAGCAGTTACTGAGACCCGGTTAACACTGAATAGCAGTTACTGAGACCCGGGTTTAAAACACAGAATAGCAGTTACTGAGACCCGGTTAACACTGAATAGCAGTTACTGAGACCCGGTTAACACTGAATAGCAGTTACTGAGACTTTTGTTGTTCTGAAAAGGCACGTTCTTGCTGTTCTTTTCCATTTTCTAGTGTTTGGGCATTTTGTTTGTTTGTGTTTGTTTTCTCTCTCTCTCTCTCTCTCTCTCTCTCTCTCTCTCTCTCTCTCTCTCTCTCTCTCTCTCTCTCTCTCCTCCTCTCTCTCTCTCTCTCTCTCTCTCTCTCTCTCAGTCTGTGTGAATGGGGTTGAGGGGACAGTTATGTGTGACAGGAGGCTATCAGCAGTCTCCATCTGCTGGCTGCTTCCATTGTCTCCTGACCTGCCCTGATAAAACACACACACACACACACACACACACACACACACACACGCACACTTAAACACAATCCCGTAGAGCTGAATGGATTGTGTACGTGACCTGCCATCCTGACCAGGTAGAGCAGAAACCCTTCAGGAGATGGTTACTTTCCTCTGAAGTGCTTTACCATCCCCTCATCTTTCTCTCACCATCCATCTCTCTCTCTCAGTCTCATTTTCTCTCTCCAATAGACTCGCTCTCCCTTCCTCTGCTCTTTTTCTCTATCCCGATCTTCCTCTTCCTCCATACAAGTAGTGTTGTGAGTCAGGCTGTATCTCTCTAACCATAGTGACCTGCTTGGTATTGCTGTGTGGAGATGCCCTCTGTCCTCTGACCTTTAACCTCTCTCTTCAGCTGTAGCCTTATCAGACAGAACAGCCCTACCTCCTTTCTCAGCTGCGGTGGTGACACACTGGGTAGGAACGGGCTAATATGGAAAATCCTGAACTGAAATTGTTTAGCACAAAGAACACAAACATAATGTTCAACACAGACAGACAGACAGACAGACAGACAGACGGCGGTATGATCTATTCACTGCACCCACGTGCTATTCATCCACTTCCGCTATTCATCCACTTCCATGTTGTGACATGTGCTGCCTTTCTGGCTCTGTCGTTCTGCTCCTAACAGTGACACACACTAACGCCACTGATGTAGAGTGGGAGTCTTTAGTCTCCAGTGTGAGTGAGTCTTTGTGTACGGAACGATAATGGCTTTTGTTCTACTGACACGTCTAGAGCTGCTGATTACACCGGAAATGTCAAATGTGACATTGTGCCTGAGAAGCCTTGTACACGCTGGTAGAAGGCCTGTTCATTGCATCCAACAGTAGTGAATTTAAACAATTAAAGCCCTTCCTCCTGGACTAAATGCATGTGCAAAAGTGAGTCTTCAAGGACCGTGTTTGTTAGTCCAGGAGGATGTCTAGTTTCGGATGTTTGCAAACACACATACTCTACTACCTTAGCTGATGTTGTTTGTTATCAGCATGTCTGTCGTTGGTCAGATTAGACAACCAAACAGTACATTTTCCGATATCTCTTAGAGTCAGCCTAATCTCTGTGGTTCTCAGATGAGTCCTTGGCGCTCACATTTCCCCCAAGCCCTTAGAAAGTACTTCAGGCTCATGTTGTTGTACATATAATTGAACCACATATCAAGGTAATTGAGCCTCCAAATTTAGTTCCCTCTCACTTCTAATCACAGCACATTACCATACTACCCACTGTAGCCCAGCTCTGTCGGAGGGGATGGATGACACACACACACACACACACACACGCATGCAAATACACACAAACACACACATACACGCACACACACAGCGGGAGATGGATGGTTTACCATTTCAATTATCTGTAACCATTACGCTTCTTATCCCACCTCCTCTGGTATTAGTCCTTCGAGGCACTGAAATATTCCGGAATGCTCCCACAGGCTCACAGACACACACTCATACAGAGTTGATCACACACACACACACACTCATACAGAGTTGATCACACACAAACACACACATTTATACAGGCAGAAACAACTACACACACAGAGGCACACACACACACACACCCTCATTCTCACACAGCACACACGCCTCTCACAGGTGGAAATGTCTTAATGGAGGAGCAGAGCAGTGTGTGTTTTAGCAGCAGCCATCAGTACTGTGGGCTCAGAGGATGAATCGTGTCCCAGATCCTAATTCATACTTTAATGGTGTTGTGGTGTTTCTCTCCTCCTGTTAATTGTGTTTCCTGGATGCTGAGGGAAGTGGATTCACTGAAGCGTTCTCCTGGCGGTCAGGCATTAGCTGAGAACACACACATGTACACACACACACACACACACCACTATGGCGTCATGTGTTAGCTCTTAGCTGTATCCCCAGCCGCTACTTAACTTATCCCCCTGATGATCCACAGTAACTACTGCACTCACACTACCTAATGGCAGAAATACGTCATTCACTCTTTCTCTCTCTTTCCTTCTCTTTCCTTCTCTTTCTTTCTCTTTCTTTCTCTTTCCTTCTCTTTCCTTCTCTCTCTCTCTCTCTCTCTCTCGCTCTCTCTCTCTCTCTCTCTCATTCTCTTGCGCTCTCTCTTTCACTCTCTCTTTCACTCTCTCGATTTCTCTCTCTCTCTTTCTCTCTCTCTGTCTCTCTTTCTCTGTCTCTGTCTCTATCAGTCTCTCTCTGTCTCTCTTTCTCAACATTGGGTTATTTTTCTTTTCTGTACATAATATGTAGATTACCAGTAAAAATTGTGAAATGATATGAATGCACAAGACACAGATATCCTATAATATATATATGTAATTCTATAACACAAGATGCTATAGGTTCTCTGAAGGATTTGTCTCCACCATGCTATTTAATAGCACAGTGTGCCACCCCATGGGAGAAATAGCCTCCATCCCTCGCAGAGTTTCCATCAGTAGTGAGTGCTGAGTGACTTATGATCATGACCTTTCTACTCCGTTCAAAGCTGGAGTAATGCCCTTCTGTTTATCATTATCTCTGTCTTTATACACTCTCATGATGAATGTTAAGGGGGACATTACCTATAGACCTATAGGCCAGCGTGAAGGAGCACCTTGGAGCCATGTTGGCCCTTGAGGTGATGTTTGTGTGGCTGTATGTGCATGTAGAGTAGGTAGCCTTGTTCGCAAGGAAGTGTTTATAGTGTAAAACAGTCGTTTTTGATGCAACATAAACCGGGGTTAGTTCAGTGTTCTGCAAACAGCTGTTGAAATGCATGTTTGGTAAATGTACGTTATCTGTGCATTTAGCGAATGCATTGCAGAGGCAAACACTGCATTGATTCATGTGATTTTTATGACGTCATATAGCATATGAGAGTCAGAGACAGACATTGTCACAGAGGGCATTGGAACCAAATTTCTCCGACAGCGTTTTCAGAAACACCATTTCCTGACTTCCATTCACAGTCCAAATCACAAATGTATTAATATCCATAACATTACAACGGCACAATAGACTATTACAGCCGCCCAACCATTGTCCCAACTTACTGATGATGCTACTACAGCAGATACAATGGAAAGCAGTATGGCCAATTCCCCCCTGTTGATAAAAGGAAATGGAACTGCTGCTATGGGAGGTGTGGCATGTCTGTATTTAACAGGGAAACTTGCAAAAACTAAAATTGGATACCTGCACAACGTCATAAAACGATTTCCGGGTAATATAGGTTTGTGGTATTCTGCTTCCGGCAAACTACTTCCTGTTTTTAGCCGTTGGTCGTATCTTAGCATTGCTATTTTCTCTGGTCATTGTCCTATTTGTATCGTGTGTATAAATACACGACCGGTCAAAAGTTTTAGAACACCTACTCATTCAAGGGTTTTTCAAGGGTTTTTCTTTATTCTACATTGTAGAATAATAGTGAAGACATCAAAACTATGAAATAACACATATGGAATCATGTAGTAACCAAATAAGTGTTAAACAAATAAAAATATATTTTATATTTGAGATTCTTCAAATAGCCACCCTTTGCCTTGATGACAGCTTTGCACACTCTTGGCATTCTCTCCACCAGCTTCATGAGGTAGTCACCTGGAATGCATTACAATTAACAGGTGTGCCTTCTTAAAAGTTAATTTGTGGAATTTCTTTCCTTCTTAATGCGTTTGAGCCAATCAGTTGTGTTGTGACAGGGTAGGGGGGGTATACAGAAGATAGCCCTATTTGGAAAAAGACCAAGTCCATATTATGGCAAGAACAGCTCAAATAAGAACAGAGAAATGACAGTCCATCATTACTTTAAGACATGAAGGTCAGTCAATACGGAACATTAAAATAACTTTTAAAGTCGCAAAAACAATCAAGTGCTATGATGAAATTGGCTCTCATGAGGACCGCCACAGGAATGAAAAACCCAGAGTTACCTCTGCTGCAGAGGATAAATTAATTAGAGTTAACAGCCTCAGAAATTGCAGCCCAAATAAATGCTTCACAGAGTTCAAGTAACAGACACATCTCAACGTCAACTATTCAGAGGAGACTGTGTGAATCAGGCCTTCGTGGTCGAATTGCTGTAAAGAAACCACTACTAAAGGACACCGATAAGAAGAAGAGACTTGTGTGGGCCAAGAAACACGAGCAATGGACATTAGACCGGTGGAAATGTGTCCTTTGGTCTGGAGTCCAAATTGGAGATTTTTGGTTCCAACCGCCGTGTCTTTGTGAGACACAGTGTGGGTGAACGGATGATCTCTGCATGTGTATTTCCCACCATAAAGCATGGAGGAGGTTACACAGTCTGCTGGTGACACTGTCTGTGATTTATTTAGAATTCAAGGCACACTTAACAAGCATGGCTACCACAGCATTCTGCAGCGATACGCCATCCCATCTGGTTTGGGCTTAGTGGGACTATCATTTGTTTTTCAACAGGACAATGACCCAACACACCTCCAGGCTGTGTAATAGCTATTTTACCAAGAAGGAGAGTGATGGAGAGCTGCATCAGATGACCTGGCCTCCACAATCCCCCGACCTCAACCAAATTGAGATGGTGTGGGATGAGTCGGACTACAGAGTGAAGGAAAAACAGCCAACAAGTGCTCAGTATATGTGGGAACTCCTTCAAGACTGTTGGAAAAGCATTCCAGCTGAAGCTGGTGGAGAGAATGCCAAGAGTGTGCAAAACTGGCATCAAGGCAAAAGGTGGCTATTTGAAGAATCTCAAATATAAAATATATTTTTATTTGTTTAACAATTATTTGGTTACTACATGATTCCATATGTATTATTTCATAGTTTTGATGTCTTCACTATTATTCTACAATGTAGAAAATAGTAAAAATAAAGAAAAACCCTTGAATGAGTAGGTGTTCTAAAACTTTTGACCGGTAGTACTTTTTGTATATAATCGTTTTATAGTATACAGTGAGGGAAAAAAGTATTTGAACCCCTGCTGATTTTGTACGTTTGCCCACTGACAAAGAAATGATCAGTCTATAATTTTAATGGTAGGTTTATTTGAATAGTGAGAGACAGAATAACAACAAAAGAATCCAGAAAAACGTATGTAAAAATTTTTATAAATTAATTTGCATTTTAATGAGGGAAATAAATATTTGACCCCATCTCAATCAGAAAGATTTCTGGCTCCCAGGTGTCTTTTATACAGGTAATGAGCTGAGATTAGGAGCACACTCTTAAAGGGAGTGCTCCTAATCTCAGTTTGTTACCTGTATAAAAGACACCTGTCCACAGAAGCAATCAATCAATCAGATTCCAAACTCTCCACCATGGCCAAGACCAAAGAGCTCTCCAAGGATGTCAGGGACAAGATTGTAGACCTACACAAGGCTGGAATGGGCTACAAGACCATCGCCAAGCAGCTTGGTGAGAAGGTGACAACAGTTGGTGTGATTATTCGCAAAAGGAAGAAACACAAAAGAACTGTCAATCTCCCTCGGCCTGGGGCTCCATGCAAGATCTCACCTTGTGGAGTTGCAATGATCATGAGAACGGTGAGGAATCAGCCCAGAACTACACAGGAGGATCTTGTCAATGATCTCAAGGCAGCTGGCACCATAGTCACCAAGAAAACAATTGGTAACACACTACGCCGTGAAGGACTGAAATCCTGCAGCGCCCGCAAGGTCCCCCTGCTCAAGAAAGCACATATACAGGCCCGTCTGAAGTTTGCCAATGAGCTTCTGAATGATTCAGAGGAGAACTGGGTGAAAGTGTTGTGGTCAGATGAGACCAAAATCGAGCTCTTTGGCATCAACTCAACTCGCCGTGTTTGGAGGAGGAATGCTGCCTATGACCCCAGGAACACCATCCCCACCATCAAACATGGAGGTGGAAACATTATGCTTTGGGGGTGTTTTTCTGCTAAGGGGACAGGACAACTTCACCGCATCAAAGGGACGATGGACGGGGCCATGTACCGTCAAATCTTGGGTGAGAACCTCCTTCCCTCAGCCAGGGTATTGAAAATGGGTAATGGATGGATATTCCAGCATGACAATGACCCAAAACACACGGCCAAGGCAACAAAGGAGTGGCTCAAGAAGAGGCATATTAATGTCCTGGAGTGGCCTAGCCAATCTCCAGACCTTAATCCCATAGAAAATCTATGGAGGGAGCTGAAGGTTCGAGTTGCCAAACGTCAGCCTCGAAACCTTAATGACTTAGAGAAGATCTGCAAAGAGGAGTGGAACAAAATCCCTCCTGAGATGTGTGCAAACATGGTGGCCAACTACAAGAAACGTCTGACCTCTGTGATTGCCAACAAGGGTTTTGCCACCAAGTACTAAGTCATGTTTTGCAAAGGGGTCAAATACTTATTTCCCTCATTAAAATGCAAATCAATTTATAACATTTTTGACATGCGTTTTTCTGGATTTTTTTTGTTGTTATTCTGTCTCTCACTGTTCAAATAAACCTACCATTAAAATTATAGACTGATCATGTCTTTGTCAGTGGGCAAACGTACACAATCAGCAGGGGATCAAATACTTTTTTCCCTCACTGTAAATAGTGTTGTGTTTCGTTAGTTAGCTAACTAATTAGTTTCTTCAAATGTAGTATTTTCATATTGAATTTAGCCAACTCAATGGCAATGCAATGGTTTAGGATTAGGGTGGCTCTTTTTTATACCCGCTGCCGTCAGGAAATCCCCAGATTAACTGTCAATGATGTCCATAGAATAGCAAAATTGACATCCAAGACTCCAGCCAGCAAGCTGGAGAAAGGTTTTAATATGTATGCTTCGACATACATTGCAAACTATGAAGGTAAATTGCAATGTACTGCTCATTAGCTAACATAATCTAGCTACCGTCCTCAACAGGGTTATCTAACGTTAACCTTGCTAGCTAACTGTACACACTCATAACGTAGGCCTACACATCTTTGTGTTTACATAATGTTGGTAGCTACAATACTCAATAGCTTGTTAGCTAGCTAGCTAAGATATACTGACATTAATTATTGTGTAAGTTATAATGTGTTGGATGTATGAAGATAGCTAATGTTAAGTTGCAATCTACTGCTGATTATCTACCAAGCTAGCTACTTCAGGGTACCAATTCTGACTTGTTATTGTTTATCAGTGTATAACACAGACAGGCTGAGTGGAGAAGTCAGTGTGAGGGCATGTTGCAACAGGACAATGAAAAATAACGGGAGAAAGCTAGGACAGGATTGTTAAAGTTTTGCAACCAGTTTAAGTTCAGATGTTAGTATAAAGTTTAAATGTTGGAAATGTGGGGCAATTACATGGTAGATTCTAAAGTTAGACGAGCAGCATTAGGTTCAAATGAATGACAGAAACTATTGAAGAAACACAAGATATTTTCAGGGAAAGCATATTTTAGACAAATATTGTATTTTTCGTCTTCATCGCATAATGAGGGCACTTGTCGTGACATTGCTTGTAGGCTTGTATGATGTAGGGATTAGGTCAAGAGTTGTCAACACACATAAAAAAATAAGACAGTTGTGCCCACCAATGAAGTAGTGAACAAACAAATGAAGAACAACAGGTGACGAAATGACAAGGAACAGATTATTGATTACCATTCAATTGAATATCAAGTGACAAGATGATAAGGAACCGATTACTAATGAATAATAGTGAACTGCAATTAGGTGAAATACTAAATGAAGAACCAATTAAGAAAAAACAACTAGGTGATAACTGAAGAACCAATTCAAACAACAATTAGGTGATATAATATTAAATGAACTGATTAAGAAAAAACCTAAACCAGCATATTAATTCACAACTGGGATATCAAGGATAAAAAAGACTGTCAACGTCAGTGTAAAATAGGTTGTAGCAGTCATAAGGATATTAAATCAGCAGAAGGCAAGGCAGGCTGACGTGCTCAGAGTGTAGATCTATTTACAGCTCTTGGTGATCCAGCAAACATTTCAACAAGATAGCATTCTCCACTAGCGGGAGTTTGGAGAGCGCAAGTGGAGAGACGTACATGATGGGTTTGCGTCTCACACCTCCTTGGCCCATTTTTTCACAAGAGCTGTACACTGGTAGTTGCAGAGCAGGCATGCCAGTGAAGAGCCGGTTAATGCTTCCTGCGAAGGCTAGGGAGATATTGGTGTCAAACAACTTGTTCGATTTCACCCTTCGAATGACTCTTTCCACATGGATCCTAAGCCGAGCGATCTCTTGTGTCAGATTAACTTCTGCTGTAGGCATTTGGCTCTGTTTTGACAGGAATGGAGGACGGTAGACCTTCCCTGGGGCTTTCATTGTGCAGTGGGATTTGTAGATGGAGAACATCTCACTTTGCAGCAAAAGACAGGGTTGTGTCTGACACCTGAGCTCGGTGCAGTCAACAATGACCTGTCTGTCTGGGTAGCTTTTAAATTCCTCCGGCAGGTTGGTCTTCACTTCCTCTTGTGACATCCAGATAGTAACTGCTCCGGGCAGGGTGTAGAGAAAGCTGGCCCAAGTGATGATGATCTGTAGAGGGATGTGAAACCGCTGGCTCAGGTCTCTGTAACCCCAGAGCGAGATGTGTGAGAAAGAGGAATAGCTCATCCACTGGCTGCAATGCCTGTCTCTGTAACCCCAGGCAACATATACACTGTGAACTCCAAAAGTATTTGGACAGTGACAATTTGTTTTGTATTTTTGGCCCTGTATTCCAGTATTTTGGATTTGAAATGATAATCCTAAATGAGTCGTGAATAATGATGAGTGAGAAGGATACAGACGGGTCAAACATCACACCCACAAGACAGGTCCCCTGTAGCTCAGTTGGTAGAGCATGGCGCTTGCAACGCCAGGGTTGTGGGTTCGTTTCCCACGGGGCGCCAGTATGAAAATATATGCACTCACTAACTGTAAGTCGCTCTGGATAAGAGCATCTGCTAAAATGTAAATGCTAACCTCCTCTGTTATTAGTAATGGTGAGAAGTTAGCATGTCTTGGGGGTGTGATGTTTGACCCATCTGTATCATTATTCAAGACTATCCGTAATCATGTAGCTTCCACATTCATGTGAAAGTGTTTAGAAACATATTCTATTCTTATTTACAAAAAAAAGTGACAAAATTCATCATTTACCATTAATTTCTCTTGGACACAACATAATCTGAAACACAAGCAAAACAAACTGCAAATGTATCTAACACATTTGATGTACGCATTGAGTTCTAGGAATATGGGACCAAAATACTACACTTTTGACTACTTTATTGTACATAATATTAATCTGTCCAAATACTTTTGGTTCCCTAAAATGGGGGGACTATGTACAAAATGTGCTGTAATTTCTAAATGGTTCATCCGATATGGATGGAAATACCCTCAAATTAAAGCTGACAGTCTGCAATTTAACCCCCATAGTCATTGTATAATTTCAACTCCAAAGTGCTGGAATACAACAACAACAACAAAAATACTTATGGAGTTCACTGAATATATATAAGTAATTGATTAGTTCGATGTAATTGATGTACATTATTATCACATAATAGTTGTTCCTTTTTATAGGGCCTGCACAGCCATTTTGTAATTGGCAGCAGAAAAAATACAAATCACCAAAGTACTGTTCAATCGCTTTAATTTAACATTGTATTTTAACATACATTAAAAAAAAACCTTTTTTTTAAAAGTATTATTGATATTAATTAACACAATGTTTTAACTATACTGAACAAAAATATAAACGCAACATGCAACAATTTCAATGAATTTACTGAGTTACAGTTCATATAAGGAAATAAGCCAATTTAAATAAATTCATAAAGCCCTAATCTATGGATTTCACATGACTGAGCAGGGGCGCAGCCATGGGTGGGCCTGGGAGGGCATAGGCCCACCCACTGGGGAGCCAGGCTCAGACAATCAGAATTAGTTTTCCCCACAAAAGGGCCCTTCCTCAGACGACATAGCCCTCCCGGAGTAGGCTCCACTATGTGTTCAGGAAGAAAATGCCTGCCACAGACCTTGGAGATTTTGCCGATGGTGAAGTTGTCTCGTCGGATATTAATCACCCACTTCTTTCGTAGCTCATCATCAGCAGGGAAAGAGTGGAATGACAGACTGGAGAATTTGGCAGAGGAGCTGCACAGCGACACACAGCAATGTTCTGAGGAACTGACCTCTCTTCTCTGAAACTTGACCCTATCTTTCTTCATGGGACACATCTTGATCCTCTTCATGGTGATTTTATTCTCCAACAGCTAACGACGCTAGCTAACGTTACCGTTAGTGCCAGTTGCCGTCGTTGGCTAACGTTAACAGTTGAATTCGAAAATACATTTGAAGAAACTAACTAGCTAGCTAGCTAACTAACGAAACACACAACACTATTATACTATACTACTTATACTACTATTATATACAAAAAAATAACTTAAATATATATACAGTATATACACGATACTTATAGCATTGCTAATATATGACCAACGGCTAAAAACAGGAAGTAGTTCGCCGGAAGCAGAATGCCGTGAACCTGTATAACCCAGAAATTGTTTTATGATGTTGTGCAGGTATCCCATTACAACCAACAACCCCAGAGAGAAAGTCAGAGGGCATGTATCGATTAAGGTAATTTCCATCTCAAACTAGTTTTATCGTGAACGTGGGCATTCTACTTCACAAGAAAAGATTTTCGCAGAAACTACAGTATAAGCCCTGCTACAACAGGATACTGAAACCAACAAGATACTGAAACTAACAATGTACTGAAACCAACAAGGTACTGACACCAACAAGGTACTGAAACCAACAAGGTACTGACACCAACAAGGTACTGAAACCAACAAGGTACTGACACCAACAAGGTACTGAAACCAACAAGGCACTGACACCAACAAGGCACTGACACCAACAAGGCACTGAAACCAACAAGGTACTGAAAACAAGGTACTAAACCAAATAACTAAAACCTACAAGCACTACTACAAAAGAAACGTCACAGTATTCAGGTGAGAGGCATGAGGTAAAAATAAGCCAACAGGTACCCTGGCAGCCAAAAACATCCAAACACCATTTTGTAACTTGCTTGGTGTAGACTCAGTGCCAAACCTCAGCACCCCAGCAAGGTTGTTTGGTAATGACTCACCCCAGTCAGGGTGTTTGGTAATGACTGTGTTTAACCTTGTTGTACTCTAAACGGCCTGTTGTTTGTCCCCATGCCCTCTGGCTGTGCAGCAATGTTCCTTCCACAACATCAATCTTCATGTTCATATTTATGCCCATCCAGTTACAGTTGTCATATGGACTAGCTACAACTTTCCCTTTAGCTCAGTGCTTGACTTTGACTGAAATAGCTGTCAGTACTCATTTTGAGTGCCGGTACTGTTTATTTTTAGGTGCAGGAATTTCAGTGATCTCCTGCCCAAGTCAATCACTGCTTTAGCTAGAATGTTGCTGTTCCCATGGTTTCATTACATCACCTTCCTGGTGTAATACCCAGAGTTCAAATGGAAAGTCTACAGGCAGTACCAGTAGCGGTTCGTGCCATTCAAGATTAGGGAGGACAATATTTGTTTTAATGAGCATGGTCTCATTTCTACTACAGTATAATGGATGACTGTAATTCATATTCCATTCACCCAGCTCAATGTGACATCAATAGGTATATTCTACTACATGATAGTCAAATTTGCCCTATATCATGAGGTTGATACAATCTAGCTTACAAATGAAAGTTTGAGAGACAAATTGGAGTAATCAAGGTGACAGACAGTGACACATTGCCTGCATCTAGCTGATCTGGGGTGTAATCATTAATCCAAACAATAATTTATATTGGACAAATTCAGGTAGGTCTCTCCCCGTTTCCTTCCGTTTGCTTCCGTTTAAGAAACATTTTGCAACAGAATTGGCGGAATGAATATACCCCTGATCACCCGCACACACAGATCACATTCATAGCAGCTACATAAAACAGCATCATCATTTTGCCTATTGTATAATTTATTCTCGCATCTACGCGCTCTCCTCCTCTCACCTTTTCCCTTTGCTTTTGGACTTCAGGTTATAGTCAACAAACTAGAACTAATGCGTTCGTAAACCCTCAATCCAATCCATGTGTACAATCACACAGTACAGTGTACAGTAAGAAGTTTAGCAGTTACACCGGCGGGCCATGTGGCAATAAATTAATAAAACCGAAAGCTTACCTTGACTTGGAAGAGTTGCAGTGTTGGATAGCCATAGCCAGATAACTAACATACATATCATTCCTCTCTGTTTATGTCAGGTTGTTGAGCAGACTAAATTGTAGCTGCATTAGCTAAGTGAAAGGTAAACTAAGAAGAAGAAAAAATACAATGAAATATGTCTCTTTCTCTCTCTCTCACTTTATCTGCTGCTTCTCCTTAATTTTTGAGGAACATAATTTGTTTAGAACTGTTCAACTATTGTCTTTCTCTCTCTTGAGTAAACCACTCACCACATTTTATGCACTGCAGTGCGAGCTAGCTGTAGCTTATGCTTTCAGTACTAGATTAATTCTCTGATCCTTTGATTGGATGGATAAGATGTTAGTTCATACTGCAAGAGCTCTGATAGGTTTGAGGACGTCCTCCAGAAGTCACCATAATTACTGTATAAGTCTATGGAAGGGGGTGAGAACCATGAGACTTCTAGGTTTTGTATTGAAGTCAATGTACCCAGAGGATGGAAAATAGCTGTCCTCCTGCTACGTCATGGTGCTACCCTAGAGGGTGCTGTTGAGGCTACTGTAGACTTTCATTGCAAAACAGTATGTTTTAAATAAGTTATTTGGTGACAATATATTTAGTATAGTTTTATCTAAAAATATAACTTTTTTTATGTTTCACTATTTTAATTTTTATGAAATTCGCTGAGGAGGATGGTCCTCCCCTTCCTCCTCTGAGGAGCCTCCACTGGCCAGTACCCTGAAACAGGAGGAGCTTCTTCCTGGTTCTGTCCTGATGAAGATGCCCAATGTTGTCCATCAAAAAAAAAAAAAAAGCCATTGATATCTAACAGTGTGGGTTCATTTTGTTCACGGCTTGACTTATCCCATGGGACCCTACTGATCCAGTGATGAGTTGCCCCAAGCCAAGTCTCAGCCAATCCCTTCCCAGCAGACCTAGATCATAATCAGTCATCATTTCAGCTCTCAAGTGTTGCATGGAGGGGCGATGAGCGCTTTATCATGGATCTAATACAGAACCTAGCCATGTTAAAGACATTTTAATCCACAGTGAAGATGTTGAAGGCGTGTTGTTAAACCAGGGGTTGTGTTGACAGCAGGGCAGAGACAAGGGGTGGTATAAGATCTTATCTCAACAGTCCCCTGCTGTTTTACTGCTCACAGTTACAGATTACAGCATCTCAACAGCCCTCTGCTATTTTACTGCTCACAGTTACAGATTACAGCATCTCAACAACTGTCTGCTGTTTTACTGCTCACAGTTACAGATTACAGCATCTCAACAGCCCTCTGCTATTTTACTGCTCACAGTTACAGATTACAGCATCTCAACAACTGTCTGCTGTTTTACTGCTCACAGTTACAGATACAGCATCTCACAACCGCTGTCTGCTGTTTACTGCTCACAGTTACGATTACAAGATCATCAACAGCTGTCTGCTGTTTTACTGCTCACAGTTACAGATTACAGCATCTCAACAGCTGTCTGCTGTTTTACTGCTCACAGTTACAGATTACAGCATCTCAACAGCTGTCTGCTGTTTTACTGCTCACAGTTACAGATTACAGCATCTCAACAGCTGTCTGCTGTTTTACTGCTCACAGTTACAGATTACAGCTTAAATCAGGCCCTCAGTATCACAGAGTTGGTATAAACAGCATCCATGTTTCTGTTTCTCAGTCTCTCCATTTTTTGTGTACAGAAGTTTGGGTGGAGGGTTAAATTAGTGTACTATATGGTAGAATGTCTCAATAAAGACCATTAAAAGTCTCTATCTATCTATCTATCTATCATTTTTATGGTTCCCCTATGGCAGATGAACGCAGTGACATTTGTGGAGACGATTGTAATTCATTAGGTTTTCCTCGGGAGAGCGAAATGACACTTGTCACTGGAGTCACTGACTGACTGACTGATTAACTGACTGACTGATTGACTGACTGATTAACTGACTGACTGACTGACTGACTGAAATGTCAAACCATTCTTAAAGAGTGTGTTTATGTGAGTGCCCTGTCTGCCATAGTTGTATAGGAGCTCTCTGTGGTTCTGAATAGTTCCTGCTCCTCTCTCTACTACGCTGACTCTCCTTTCAGCAGGAAATCATGACGGATGATACTTCCCCCTGAAAGTGACAGCCCCCCCCCCCCCCCCCCCCCCCCCCCCCCCCCCCCCCCCCTGAGCTACTGGGCTGTGGCCACAGTACCCCTTCCTTTCTGTATTGTTGTTGTCTCTCCTCGTTTCCCAGTCTCTCCTCACAAAAACAGCCAGGCCAGCATACTGGATTAAATGAACTGGAGGTGTCACCTGCAATTTTTCCCTCTGTGTGTTTTTACCCTTGACCTTGTTACTGGTGGGAAGTCTGGGATTTGTTTCTGTTCTTACCACTCTGCTCTTACACACACGCATGCGTGCACGCACATACAGTGGGGAGAACAAGGATTTGATACACTGCCGATTTTGCAGGTTTTCCTACTTACAAAGCATGTAGAGGTCTGTAATTTTTATCATAGGTCCACTTCAACTGTGAGAGACGGAATCTAAAACAAAAATCCAGATAATCACATTGTATGATTTTTAAGTCATTCATTTGCATTTTATTGCATGACATAAGTATTTGATACATCAGAAAAGCAGAACTTAATATTTGGTTCAGAAACCTTTGTTTGCAATTACAGAGATCATACGTTTCCTGTAGGTCTTGACCAGGTTTGCACACACTGCAGCAGGGATTTTGGCCCACTCCTCCATACAGACCTTCTCCAGATCCTTCAGGTTTCGGGGCTGTCGCTGGGCAATACGGACTTTCAGCTCCCTCCAAAGATTTTCTATTGGGTTCAGGTCTGGAGACTGGCTAGGCCACTCCAGGACCTTGAGATGCTTCTTACGGAGCCACTCCTCAGTTGCCCTGGCTGTGTGTTTTGGGTCGTTGTCATGCTGGAAGACCCAGCCACGACCCAACTTCAATGCTCTTACTGAGGGAAGGAGGTTGTTGGCCAAGATCTCGCGATACATGGCCCCATCCA